TAATTTCACTGATGTACGTGTAAAGCTTCTATGATCGATGTGATATAAAGATAATTGAAGTGGGACCTCTGATTAGATCAGCGATTCTCAAGTCCTGCTAAAGGGAAATCTCACCTGGGGATATTTTGATAGGTATACACATTTCCACTCCAAACCTATTAAATCAGACTCTGCTAGTAGGACCAGGCATCATTACAAGGGGGGAACCCAACAAATCCTGGAATTTATTCATAAAAATTGTATATTTATTCTTACATGTTTAAACTTCAGTCACCTTCAAAGTACTGTTTGATGCAATGCTTACTATTGTCTTACTTACCTATTGAGACAATTTTTCCCACTGTTCAAAAGTTTTGAATTTGTCAGTTTTGATGCCTTGCAGTGCTTTTGTTGCTTTTTGTTTTACCTCTTCCACATCAGCAAAGTGTTTCCCTTTGAGGATTTTTTCCTTGAGGGAAACAAACAACAAAATGTTGCTTGGGGAGAGTCGGGTAAACAGGGAGGGTGAGGCATGAGGTTATGTCATTTTTGGTCAAAAACTGCTGAAGACTCAGCTTGGTGTGGGTAGGTGTGCCACAGATTGGCCATCATGAAATGGGCAAATGTGTTGAAAGAATGTCCAAAAAAATTTTACTGAAGCTGAACACAGCTTCTCACAATGGTAGCAGGTACACTGATGCTGATGGATTCTTAGAAACTTACCTAGCGGGGAATGTCTGTTACTACAAGGGGCCTGCCCTCCAAAAAACAATTTCTTTTTTTGCACTCTCCCCTTATTTTTTAAAAACTCTGCAAATGATCCTGCTGGGTAGGATTGCTGGCCACTGGTTTAGAAGCTGATCATACCTAGACTATGAATATTAATTATTGATTAGATTAATCACTTGCCCATAAAACGGTGGTTCTCTCTCTCTGTCTCTCTCTCTCTTTTTTTTTTTTTGAGTTGGAGTCTCACTCTGTCGCCCAGACTGGAGCGCAGTGGCCGCTCCCGGTCACTGCAGCCTCCACCTGCTGGGCTCCGGCGATCCTTCCGCCTCAGCCTTCCAAGTCGCTGGAACGACAGGCGCGTGCTACCACGCCTGGCTAATTTTTTGATTTATTGTAGAGATGAGGTCTCGCTGCCCAGGCGGGTCTCGAACCCGCGGGCTCAGGCAGTCCACTCACCTCAGCCTCCCAAAGGTGCGGGATTACAGGCTGAGCCCGGCTGTCTCTCTCTCTTTCTATAGTGATAGTGTCTGGTTATGTTGACCAGGCTATTCTTGAAATCTTGGGCTTAAGTGATCCTCCTGCCTCAGACTTCTGAGTAGTTGAGATTATAGGCATGTGCCACCATGCTTACCTTAGTGGTTTTCATTCTTGTTTGTACATTGGAATTACTTTTCAGAAAAATACTGCTGCCTAGGCCCCACCCAGATCAATTAAACCAATTGAAGTTGAATATGTGGGCAAGGAACCATAGTATTAGTAAAACAAAACAAACATACCCTAGATATTGTTAGGTGATTCTGATGTGCAATCAAAACTGTGAATCTCTGCCCTAAAGTTCTAAAGAACTCAGTTCTCTTAAGGGTACATGAGAATCACTGAAGAGCTCATTAAATTGCCATGTTCCACCCACGATTTTTGATGCAGTGGCTCTGGGGGGGGGCCCTTGAATTAGAATTTCTATCAAGTTCACAGATCATGAAAAAAAAGTAAGTATTCTTTCTTTTTATATAAATTGGTAGGTACTGAATTCACTATTTCTTCTTAGTCTTAAACTTTTATTCATTGGTTTTTAGTTTAATTTTCAGCATGGAAAATATGTTCACATGGTTCAATGATCAAATAATTAAAATGGTATTCACTAAGTGGTCCTCTTCTCATTCTGAAAACTTTCACCTAGTTCTTCCTGTTTCTGTAGGTAGATAAACACTTTTTTAGTAGCTTTTTTTGTGTGGTATCCTTTTAGTCTTTATGTAAATGCAGAAAATCTGGGCACAATTTTTTCATTCCTCACTCTTTTATTACATAAAAGAGTCCATAGGCCGGGCTCGGTGGCTCAGCCTGTAATCCCAGCACTTTGGGAGGCCGAGGTGAGTGGATGGCCTGAGACCCGCCCGGTCAACTTGGCGAGACTTCATCTCTACAATAAATCAAAAAATCAGCCGGGCATGATAGCGCGCACCTGTAGTTCCAGCTACTTGGAAGGCTGAGGCGGAAGGAGCGCCAGAGCCCAGCAGGTCGAGGCTGCGGTGGCCGGGAGCGGCCACTTCACTCCAGCCTGGGTGACAGAGTGAGACTTCAACTCAAAAAACAAACAAACAAAAAAGAGTCCATATTATGTACCTTGTTTTGTGCTTTCCCTTTTTCTTTTAATGATAAAATCCTGGAGGTAGTTATGTATCAACATGTAGAGTATGTCCTTATTCTGTTTTTAGCCATGCGTTTTGCTATTGTTTAGTTGTTTCTATGCTATCATGTCCTGAATTCTTACTCACATAGTGAATTGTTATGCACTAATCTTCTGGATTAACTCTTGATTTATCAATAGGGTCTAGCGGAATTTAAAAGCCATTTATTCCTTCAAGGTAGACTCGAATATTTGACTTTTTCACTTTGAATCCCTGTCATAACAAACCAATATTCTCTGAGGCAAACAGATCACTTTATTATAGTTCAAAAAAATTCAAACTCTTCATAGAAATGGTCTCTCATTTCCTGTCATGTATCCATATACTTTTATAGAAAGAGTGGATCTCAGTTTGCAAAATCAGATATAGAATACATCTTTTAAAAATCCTACCAAATTTTAATTTCAGTATTTCCATGCCACCATGCTGGTGTGAAATTCACTTTTAGTTGTAATCAGGCCCCTTCTTCAGGATTGCATCTGAATTTGGATATGATACCTCAAAAGTTGAGAAGGTCATTGTATCTCCTGTCCCTTGTAGCAATGAATAGTTTGTAGCACCTATCATGTAGTGTTATAATTACCCAAATATGCATTTTTACTTTTTCTCTTCTGTGAGTTTTTCTAAAGAAGGAGCCTTATTTTATTTAATTTTGTGTCATAGCATAGAATATCGTGCCTCGCAGATAGTAGTCGTCAGTTAATATTTCAGGAATGAGACCAGGCGCAGTGGCTCACGCCTATAATCCCAGCACTTTGGGAGGTCAAGGTGAGAGGGTTTCCTGAGCCCGCAGGTTCGAGGCCAGCCTGGGCAACTTGGCAAGACCTCATCTCTACAATAAATCAAAAAATTAGCTGGGCATGGTGGTGTGTGCCTGTAGTTGAAAGGCTGAGGTGGAAGGATAACCTGAGTCCAGCAGGTTGAGCCTGCGGTGGCCAGGAGCATGCCACTGCCCTCTAGCCTGGGTGAAACTCCAACTCAAAAAAAACCAAAAAAACAAAAAAACTCAGGAATGAGTCTTCTTGGTCTGAGTGATTACAACTAATGATTTGCAACATGTATTCCCTTAAAATACATTTTCAATTATAATTTCCATTTGCACAAAGAAAAAAGGACTATAACTAAATGATAAAACTTATTAGAATCTTGTTGGCTTGTTTCCTGGGTTGCACTCTGATTTCTTTTATGTTCTAGCTTGACAATTTGATGACTAATTATAATATTTATTAAACTCTAGAATGTGTTTTTCTTCTTGGCCTTCTTGTCTGAGGTGGGTCAGAGAGGCAGCATGGTTTGAAGTTAAAAACACAGACTTGGAAGCCAGACTTATTGGTATTGAATTCTGGTTTTGCCACTTATTGAGAACTTTGGGCAAATGACATCTCTCTGTGCCTCCATTTCCTCATTTGTTGATAGAGTTGATGTGTTAATATCTGTGTGGTGCTTAGAGTGTAACCTAGCACAAAAGTGATAGCTTTTATTTTTTATTTTTGCCCAGCCTGGAGATAGAACTAAGGAGTCCTTGAACTTCAAAGTTCTTTCAAGTTCTTATACTGTCACACTTACTTTCTGTATTGTCATTTTGGTGCCAAATGAAGCCTAGGATTCCTAGGACTGCCCTGTGAGAATCTTTTGGCTCTGAATCCTCCTGTCTTAACCTCTTTCCTACTTCTTCCCGAAAACTTCTGAAGCTTCTGCTTCCCCTTCCATATAATGGAAGTATATACGGTACTACATACTGCAAGGAAAATAAAATATTAAAAAAAATGAAATTAAAAAGACTTGGAGACTAGATAACATGAGAGCTCTGATTTCTGCATCTGAATATCTCTTTGACTTTATGTCTATCCTTCTACCCTGGTTTAAATTTCCAGAAGAAAAATGCTCCTATGGAATACTCCTATTTTGAGTCATGCATATGCTTTCTTCTGAGAAAGTTTGCTTCTGCATGTACCATCCCGTCAAAATTTTCAGTCTATAATCCATTATTGAATCGGAGACTCAAGGTTAACCAACTGATCACTCTCATCAGTCAGTAGCAGATTTAGGTCTAATGTAGGACACACAAGTCCCAATTCATGTCAAAACCCAATTAATTATGCCTCCCAATATGACTTATTCAACTTTGTATTTCATACTTCTTTTTAATATGAAAAGTCTTTTCTGGTCAAGTCAGTCTTTTTTAGAGACAGGCTCTTGCTCTGACATGTAAGCTGGAGAGCAGCTGCATGATCATAGCTCACTGCATCCTTGAACTCCTGGGCTCAAGCGTTCTTCCTGCCTCAGCTTCCCAAGTAGCTGGGACTATAGGTGTGAGTCACCATACCTGGCCCAGTCTTTCATTTTCTTATAAAAATTCACTGTTTGGTTTTTTCTTAGGGTATTTCAATAACTGAACACACTTTACACTCTCCTAGTACATAACTCAATACTTTCTGTTTTTCCCTGCAACTCCTACATATATGTACTCAGGCCAACATCGCTGTATCATTTTTCATACTCTGAAGTTCCTCAGACCTTGTTTGCTATTACTTTTTGACTTGCATTCTATTGGGAATTATACATAAATATAAAAATGTGCATTGAATGAATAAGGAAACGATGATAGAAATTGACCAAAAAAAGTTTATTCATCAAATCTTTGGAGATACAAAAACACTTGTCTTCTTTGGAGTCCTGAGAACAGTGACTTCAGCAAAGCAGTTTTTATTTACCTGGTTTTTAAGCATTTCCTTGATCTGTGATAGTGGAAAGAAGAGAAAATTAAGATGGTCTTGCAGTTTTTATTTACCTGGTCTTTAAGCATTTCCTTGATCTGTGATAGTGGAAAGAAGAGAAAATTAAGATGGACTTTCTTCCATGAGCAGAAAATATTCCTGCAGATCTGGGTAGCACAATGTCTAAAGAAACCTAATTAGTAAAGTGGGAAATGAAATCTGTTACAGATAATTACCCAGTAAACAATGTTATGAAATGTCTGAGGTTTGATTGACACAGTGAGTCTTTCCAATAAATGTGTTTTCTATAATAACATGTAGTGTGAGCAATATGTCTATAAAAAACAGCCAAGATTTTGTGACGGTGGGGATCTGAGAACAGGCATTTTGAAGGACTGTGAATTGCTTACCTTTGCTGCAAGGAGCACTGTATTCAGCAACTGCAAACTCATCTGATAAAAAAAATCATTACATGAAGTGAGAAAGAAAGCCAACATTTGAGGGATATAGGCCAAGGAAGGAATCTTGGTTGTGGGAGAAACTTTATTGTATTAGAAATGTCAGCATCATTCCTCTGATGTGTTGCTTGCTGCCTGATATTACCCTTCCAAATGTAATGTGTTATATTTTCTTTTATCTCAGACTCCTGAGGGGCACTTCAGATGTGCTGCTTACTTAAATCTCGATCTTGTCTACAGTTGATTTATCTGATGAAAAGGGAACTAAATACCCTACAGGCGTTTTGTGTTAGTCGTTGATATATTTAAAATGTAAGTAGTTCCTACAATGTGTGTATAGAAAGAGGAGAATCAGACTTGATAGAGACAAAATTAAGCAATAAGAGCATTTAATGTAATACCTCACCCTAACCCATCTCTCAAATCTAAATTTCTGTGATCAGGACTTTAATTTTTATGTGAAAATCACTCACACTTACCTGTCTCATAATAATCGTAGACTTTCACTACAGCTGGTTTCAGATCCCTTACTGGAATATCTTGCTGAACTTTGAAGGACAAGCTCAGTGTCTGATTTGATACCTAGAAAGCAAAAGGCGATTAAACGACTTTCCAGGAAGCTTTCTCCTGTCTTTGAATAAGTATTCTTTTTTTAGGGGGGGAAAAAAACCTGTATCTACCAACAGCACACTACAGGGTTCTTAAATTGTGCAGAAATCCCTGAGTGGATGGAAATTCTCCAAATTATTTCTTAAATTACTAACACAACTCATACCTAATCAATTCCAGGATATGGTTCTGTTCATGGAGGTAAATAATCTATGTTTTTATTGATTAGCTATAAATATCCAGAAATTTGATTCAGTTTGAACTTTCCTGTATTGTAGAAACACTCAATATGTATTTTGTGAAGACTGAAATATTTAAAAGGTTGATCATTATAGCCTTGTTTAAGTTTCATAAAATGTATAAGTTATAATTCCCATCAATATATGTATGAATAAACTAGGCTATCATATATATCTATAAAATCAGATTGGTTTATTGTTAGACTGGTCTACCTAAAGATGTGGGGTACAATTCAGGGTTAGGTATACAAATGTTCATTATGCAGGTATCCTTGTTGATGAGGTGTATCTCCCTCACCCAGCAGATTCCCACTACTGCTAATCTTGCCACCCCCAGTCCCTAGCAATTTCCCACTACTGTCAATCCTTTTCTTTTCTTTTCTTTTCTTTTTTTTGAGTTGGAGTCTCACTCTGTCGCCCAGACCTGAGTGCAGTGGCCGCTCCCGGCCACCGCAGCCTCGACTTGCTGGGCTCCGGCGATCCTTCCACCTCAGCCTTCCAAGTAGCCAAAACTACAGGTTCATGCCCGGCTAATTTTTTATCTGTTGTAGAGATGAGGTCTCACCAAGTTGCCCAGGTGGGTCTCGAACCTGAGGACTCAGGCAATCCACCCACCTCAGCCTCCCAAAGGTGCGGGATTACAGGCTGAGCCACCGAGCCCGGCTTCAATCTTTTCTTATAGTATTCCAATAATTATTTAAGGTCCACTTATGGATGAGAACTTGTGATACTCAGTTATTTCTGTGATAGATAACTCAGTATTATAGACTCTAAGTTGCTGTGAAGTTCATAATTTTGTCTTTCTTTATGGCTGCATTGTGTATAGGTACCACTTTTTTTTATCCGTGGACTGGTCTTATTTAATGGTCTGAGTTCTCACAAAGATTGACAGTATTTTCCCCTTTTATATTGTTGATGAGGAAGCTGATATAATAATTGACTAATCACAATGGTTACTTCCTTACTTCCTTAAATACGGTTACACAGTATTTTTAAAATAACTTGTAGACATAATAAACACATTTTGTGAAGAATTTCTTTCTCATGGAGCCTTTAAAGCACAAATATCACAACATGACAATCCATTTCTACTCATAATCTCAGGCAAAATATAAATAAAGGAGAGAACACTCACTGGAATTAATATTAGGATTCTCCAATTTCTAGCATGGCAGTGATTTTCTAAATGCATTCATGTTCCCTTAGAGGGACTGTTTTTTAAAAAAAATTTTATTATAAAGATGTGGGGTACAATTCAGGGTTAGGTATACAAACGTTGATTATGCAGGGACCCTTGTTGGTGAGGTATGCCCCTCCCTTCCCTAGCAGTTTCCCACAACTGCCAATCCCACACCCCCTCCCCTGATAGTTTCCCACTACTGTCAATCCCTTTCTTTTTTTTTTTTTTTTTTGAGTTGGGGTCTCACTCTGTCGCCCAGACTGGAGTGCAGTGGCCGCTCCCGGCCACCACAGCCTCGACCTTCTGGGCTCCGGTGATCCTTCCGCCTCAGCCTTCCAAGTAGCTGGAACTACAGGCATGCACTACCATGCCCGGCTGATTTTTGATTTATTGTAGAGATGAGGTCTCGCCAAGTTGCCCAGGCGGGTCTCGAACCCGCGGGCTCAGGCAATCCACTCGCCTCGGCCTCCCAAAGTGCTGGGATTACAGGCTGAGCCACCGAGCCTGGCCAATCCCTTTCTTATAGTATTATAATTATTCAAGTTCTGCTTATGAATGAGAACATATGGTACTCTGTTCTTTGTTTCTGTGATAGATCACTGAGTGTGATTTTCTGCAACTAGATTGGTAGGGTGTCTCATCCAGATGTTTCCTTAAAGAGATTATCTAATTTTTTTTGTAGCTGGATTGGCAGGGCTCTCACCTCATCCAGGTAAATCAATACATGGTTGTTGCTGACTTCTGTCCGACTCACATGGTCAAATGTTTCGAGCTGAAGAAAATGAAGACATCACAAATGTTAAATAGATGAAAGCTCTAGGGGATCCAGGGAAAAAAGATTTATTATTTCCAAAATAAGCTTAAGGGTAAAATTGTTTTCAAATGAGTTCTGTAAGTGAAATCATAATGTAGTAAAATTAAAAATGAAAGGCAATTTGGATAAAATGTTTGATATTAGCATGACACCTGATCTTAGTTGACTTATCTGAAGGAAAGAGCACTTAGCAGGAACCTGCTGACAGTTTTTTTTTTTTTTTTCTAGTAGTCATGGCTCCCAGCACAGTTCTCTGCACATGCTGGGCACTTATCACTAAATTATATTTCTTAAGTTTGTAGATAGCATAGGCTTTGATAGAGGTTGATTTAACAGTATCTTAATATTAGTACTGTCTTAGTCTGGGGATACATACAACAGTTAGTAAGGGTATCTAGGCTTATAATAACCCACCATTTTCACTGTTGGTTTCAGGGGAATGAAGCCAGAGACCATCTTGACATCAGCAATCGCCATGTTGGAGGCAGGACGGCTCCCGGTATAACTGAAGATCCAGTGAGGAAGGAATTAGGATTTTCTGTGTTATTAAATATTCCCTTTGTCCAGGTCCACATTAAACACTCAATAGCTCTAAAAGGTACATGTGATTCTTCTAAGTTGATACAATAAAACTCTCAGTGATGGGTTTACATTGTCCAGTCTCTGCCTCCAGAATCTATTATTGTCCGACCACATTATTTAAAGGGTAATAATTCCCCTCAATAAAAACTGAATAAAGAATATTATCCCTCGCCTCTGACCCGAATTCCTTCTAATGCTATACAACCCTATATTAGTCTTGCTTTATTCAGGATAGAGATGAAGATTGGTTGTGCATAGAATTTTTAGAAAGCCTGTTAAAGCCAGAGAAACTAGACCCTACTCCAGACCCAATGAAACAGAATTTCAAGTGTGTAAGTGCTGAGGATCTGCATTTTAAGAAAACTCTGCAAGTGATGCATGGACTTGTGACTGCTAATCTATGCCAGTCACTTCTTATATCAACCTTATCCTAACATTTTCCTTGAATAGTATCCCCAGCCAAGTTACAATATTCTTGTGGACAGATTTGGCATAAGCCTTGTGGCTATTTGAATACTGATGCATATATATCTTCCCCAAATTGATTGTCCTGTAGATGACCTGAGATTTATTAATTGCCAATAGGAATTCTAACTAAAGAGTTGGTGTTTGCTTTTATTCAAACTTTTAGGAAATTCTTCATCTCTGTCCTGAATAAATCAAGAATAATATAGGGTTTCTACAGCATTAGAAGGAATTCAGGTCAGAGGCAAGGGATAATATTCTTTATTTAGCTTTTATTGAGGGGAATTATTACCCTTTAAATAATGTGGTTGGACAATAATGGATTCTGGAGGCAGAGACTGGACAATGTAAACCCCATCACTGAGAGTTTTATTGTATCAACTTAAAAGAATACATAGCTTTTTCAATAAATGCAGTGCAAACATTTAGTGTCATACTGCTTTGCTTAATGAGGAGTTTCAGTAGGAAAACTGACCGTTAGTCGAAGAACTAGGTGATAGAGTCAGAAGGTCTTACCTGACATTCAGGGAGATCTGGAAGCCGGTGTAGGCTTTGGGTCCATCACAAGTGTGGGGCAGAGTCTGTACCTCTAAAGCAAATGGGAACTCTTCCTTTTCTGGGAGAACATTGTACTTCAAGGATGTCTGTGAAACATTAAAGACAAAATCTGTTTTTTACCTTTTCCCAGAATTCCTCTCAACTCTTTTTCTGATTTTTCCATCTTGTGTGCTGAGTTAGGGCTTTCCTTTGAGAGGAGTTACTGTCCTCCTCTGTCCTCTGTTCTCATCTGCTGCCCAAGGGTAGACACATGTCTCACCTGGAGGTAGACACATCCTTCCCCTGTCACTTTTGCACTGTATTCCCCAGGCAGCTCTGGCAATGAGACCTGCTGTAGTAACAGGCGGTTGTTGTTGTCCACTTGGAATTTTGTGGAAAATGTTCCTGAAGACTGGACGGTCACTTGTGCAGCCTTCCCGGTCCTGGTAAACGTGGCTGCTCCATATTTGGACAAAGCATGGAGAGCCACCACTGTGTCCTGGAAGAGATGAGTGACAGAACCAACTTAGGTATGATCAATCTTTGAGGGCTGAGGTATTTTCCAAAGGCGCAAGTGAGCTGTCACAAAATGGCTTTAGTTTCCTGTTTCCCTCACTACTTAAACATTGGTGCTTTAATTTCAAAACTGATTCTAATCTTTAAATGGAGGACAGAACCATAATATTCACAAAGCTACTTTGGACTATATGCCCCAGACGTTTATTTTATTTATCAGAAAATGGATCATTTTCCTTCTATAAGTATACGTGGGATATGAAATGTGAAAAATATTACATGGATGGGAATCATTAATTGGCATCACCTATTTGCCTAGCAAGTCTTTTGTGACAGTGGTCGCATCTGCTATCACCCAACCAAAGTTCAGTCTGGCTATCTCCCCCAGCTAAACGCTATTCTGTTGCTGAGTTCATTGCCCTGAGATAAGGCAGGTTCTTTTTAGCCACGAGCAAGGTCATGCTTCAGTTTCTCCAAAGGACATAAAAGATAAATATCATAATTGTTTTTTATTTAGTGACATTTTTATTTGGCTTTCTCTTTTTTTGTTGGACTATTTCTTGTGTGCAGTGGATTCCCCCTGGTGTGCCGTGTTCTCAGTACTTATCAATATTGAACCCAGATGACATTCTTCAAATAATAGATTTCTAAGAAACGAATAACTTTCTAACAAAATTATTTAGCTTTTTTCACTCATATGAACAAATAAGAGATTAAATACAATGGCAAAAGGATGAGATGCCAATCTGTCACATCCCCCTATCTTTTAGGTTGTATAAGCAAACACAGAAATTCCTTGAAGATAAAACTTTCTGCTGTGTACATATGTATGAATTATTTATTTTTTACTTTTTTATATATTTCATTTTGTTTTAAAGCTGTGGGGTACAATTCAGGATTAGGTATACATGAGGACATCGTACAGGTAGAGCTTGGGCTTCTCTTTGGTCCCCACTTTGCCTGGTTTGAGATCCTGAATTGTTTAGATACATGATTATGCAGTTAGATTTAGAGTTGGATGTTTAAAGACAGTTCTTCATGCTTCTGGTGAATAAATGTTTGTGTTTTAAGAGTGGATGAAGAAGAATAAAATGTGTTCACCTTAAAAGAAGCTTGTTAAGGGAAACCTAAGAATGGAGAGATTTGCAAGGAGATTGTTGGATTTTGAGTAGAGTTCTTCTGAACGATTTGAATGAGACTTAGAACTGCCAGAAGAATGGTAAGTGATATTTCATCCATTCTGCTGGCACTTCATACTGCTTTAGAGGGATGATAGAACTGTTATTAGGAATAGGATGGAATATTACACAGCCATAAAGAAGGACAAAATTATGAACTTTGCAACAACTTGGATGGATTTAAGAGTCTATAATACTCAGCGATCTATCACAGAAACAAATAACTGAGTACCACGTATTGTCACGTATAAGCAGACCCTGAACAATTATCATAATACTATAAGAAAGGGATTGGCAGTAGTAGGAAATTGCCAGGGGATGGGGGAGAGGGGAGCATACTTCATTAGTAAGGATGCCTGATCTCAAACCAGGCGAAGTGGGGACCAAAGGGAAGCCTAAACTTTACCTGTACAATGACCACTTGTATACCTAATCCTAAACTGTACCCCACATCTTGAGAGGATCACACACCCCATGAAACAGAGCAATTTCTTTAAAATAAAAAAATAGAAAAATAAAAAAAATAAGCAATAAAAAAAGAAATAGGAGATTGATAATAACACTGAGCTGGAGTGAAGGAATTCTGGACATTTTCTTTTTAGACCTCTTTGACTTTTATTTTCTCTTATTTCTCAATATCCCTAAATTCTAATAACATTTTCTTTATTTCAAGTTATCGTTATCTTCATCTTTTTCTTCTGGTATATGCTAATAGTCTGTTCAAACCTTTTGCCATTTGAAGGGGACGTAAAAGTTTCTAGCCAATCACTCACCTGGGTGGAGGAGAAACCACCTTGGGAATTCTGTTGCTTTGTGATCCACTTCACAATGTGCATTGCAGAAGTCAGGTCCTCTGAGGCTGGGGCTGGCTGGGGCGTGAGGTAAGCGAGGAGCACGTAGGCTGTCATCTCCACCTCAGCAGAGGGAGCCTGGGGTTGGTAAAAATATTCCTCTGTCTCTTTTGGTTTCTGAGGTCGTTCCCAATGGACTGAGTCATCTTAAAGGTGAGAAAAAGATATTTATGTGAGGACATATTCGTATTTAACTGAAAGTGTCTAAGCCAGTGCTGAACTGAGGGTTGCATTCCAATTATAATCTCGTGAGCCTTATAGCGATGCTTTTTTTGGGTATGTGAATCTGAACTTGGTGTGTTTCAGCCCAGCTAAGACAGGTAGTGTTGCTGGAATCAGAAGCCTATACCCATAGTCGTTATGGTGAGGTTGGTGGAGAAAGAAATGGCAGAGCAAATTCTCTCACTGATTGTGGCTATTTTCCATTTCTGATATTATCTAGATTATAGCTGGAGTTCATTCAATTTCTTTTTTTTTTTTTGTAGTTAGAATCTCACTCTGTTGACCAGGCTGCTGGAGTGCAGTAGCACGCTCACGGCCACCGCAGCCTCAACCTGCTGGGTTCAGGCGAGCCTTCCGCCTCAGCCTTCCAAGCAGCTGGAACTACAGGCATGCACCACCATGCCTGGCTAATTTTTTGATTTATTATAGAGACGAGGTCTCACCAAGTTGCCCAGACTGGTCATGAACCCATGGGCTCAGGCAACTCTTTCACCTTGGTCTCCCAAAGTGCTGGGATGACAGGTGTGAGACACCACGCCCAGCCTTCATGCGATTTCTTAAAAAGCCTGTCCTTGAAGGTGTCTTGAGAGGATCACAGACCCCATGAAACAGTACAGTTTGCAATCATTAGACTGGAAAAAACTACAGTAATCCTTGAAATACCAAGGCCGACATGGGAGTGAAACAATGAGAACCTATATGAGAGGGGAGTTCCCCTCAAACCGGAATGATCTTTTTGAGGGTAGGCCCCTTGTGGTACACTAGGAATTTGTTGCTCTGGTTCAAATGGCCATCTGAAGTTTTTGTCTGGAAGTTTTGAGAAGGTTGCAGCATGATTTGCAGAAGAAATGTGCCTGGTTGTGGCAAACAAGTGACTGGTTTTTCCATGACAAATGCACCTGCCCACACTGTGCTGAGTGTTCAGCAGTTTTGGACCCAAAACACCATGACCTCCATGCCCTACCCTCCCTTTTTTACCCAATCTTGCCCCAGGAGACTGTTTTTTTTGTTTCCCGGATGCAAAAAGTCCTCAAAGGGAAATGTGCGGAAGAGGCGAACCAAAAAATGGCAGAAGCACCAAAAGACATAAAAATTGTCGAGTGCCGCATATTCTCACTCGTAAGTGGGACCTGAACATTAATCACAACAGCCTAAGGGAGGGATTGGCATTTGTGGGGCACTGCTAGGTGGCGGGTGGGACACGTGACAGCACAAAGGGTGCCTGGTTGTAAATCAAGGGAAGTGAGGGCCGGTTGAAGGCCCCAACTTCACCTGCATGGATATTGCCTATGTACCCCATCCTGACTTATACTCCACATCTTTATAATAAAGTAAAAAAGAAAATGGATGAGTTCAAAAACTGTTTTGAGCGGTGGAAAAAGTGTCTCCATAGATGTATTGCCTCAAACGGAGAATACTTTGAAGGTGACTGAAGTTTAAACATGGAAGAATAAATGCACAGTTTTGAATAAATAAATTCTGAGTTTTTTGGTCATTCCTAGGTACACTGCTGTGAGGAGTTGATTACTTTTTGAAAACAATTTGGCACCATTTATCAAAAGGGAAAATGTGCTTAGTGCACTCATCAGTCATGCTTCTTGAAGTATAACTTAGAAAACTCACACACATGCACAAGGAGACAGGCACGTGGGTATTCACTGCAGCACTATTTGCAGTAGCAAAAGATAACAAGAAAAGATCTCTGAGGAGACACTCAAATTACGTAAATTATGACTTATGTATACGCTATAATATATTATGTACCAGTGAAAATTAGTAAAGTAGACCTACAAGTGCCTCTATAGGGTATTTTATCAACATAATATTGAACTTTATAAAAAGTTTTATTTGAAAGATGTGGGGTACAATTCAGGATTAGGTATACAAGTGAACGTTGTACAGGTAAAGTCTGGACCTCCCTTTGGTCCCCACTTTGCCTGGTTTGAGATCAGGTGCCCTTACTGATATTGTGTTTCCACCTCCCACCCCAGCAGTTATCCTGCTACTGTCAATCTCTTTCTTACAGTATATTGTTGAACTTAAAAATGAAGAGCAAACAAACAAAAAACTAGGAGGCTGCAATATTTAAAAGTAGGATACTGTTTATCCAAAGATGAAAAAAGTAAAGATTCTCATATGATTTAGAAATATACATGCAGCAAAAGTATAAAGAAATTCATAGACGTTGTATTGACAAATTCAGGATAATGATTACCTCTGGAAGTAGAAGTGATGCACAGAGGAATTTCCTGCAGTGGTAATGTTTTATTAATTAATTAATTAATTAATTTTGAGTCGGAGTCTCACTTTGTCGCCCAGACTGGAGTGCAGTGGGAGCCACCGCAGCCTCGACCTGCTGGGCTCTGGCGATCCTTCCGCCTCAGCCTTCCAAGGAGCTGGAACGACAGGCGCGCACTACCACGCCCAGCTATGTTTTTTGATTTATTGTAGAGATGAGGTCTCGCCAAGTTGCCCAGGCAGGTCTCGAACCCACGGGCTCAGGCAATCCACTCACCTCAGCCTCCCAAAGCGCGGGATTACAGGCTGAGCCACCGAGCCCGGCTAATATTTTATTTCTTAACCTGTGAGAGAGTTACACAGGTGTTTGCTAATTATATCTTATGCCTTTTGGTATATCTATAATATTTTCCAATACATTTAAAAAGTAATGAATGGCTTTGCCAAAGGAGAAAGATGAAATATATTTTAATATATTTAATGAATGAAATATATTTAAATATGTTTTACATATTTGCATTAAAAAAATTTTAATTTTCTACTTCTTCAATTCTTCATATAGACCATGGTATCTGTGGCAGTATTAAGTGAATATGAATAGATTGGTGAACACTATCTTATGAAATTAGCTTAAAATATAATAATTTATTCATAAGCTCACTTCCATCAACTTTTTTTATGTTTAAAATTATATAATATGCCAGGTAAGGACTGGGTGTACATTAGGAACTGATGTTTTAGTAATAGCAGCTAGGACTTTTATAAGATTTACTATGTGCTGTATAATCTAGGTGTTTTTTGTGTATTATCAACTCACTTAATACTCACAACAACCCTATGAGGTAAATACTATTATTATCCCCATTTTACTGATAAAGGAACTGAACAGAGAAGTTAATAACTTGTCCAAGGTCACATAGGTAGTATATTTTGGAAGCTCAACCTCATCTTCAGAGGTTGAGCTTCTCACTAGTACATTATGGTCCCTGATTTATACTGGTTCCACTTAAGATTTTTCAGGCTTTATGGTGGAATTTATCAGGATGTAACCCCCTTGTAAGTTGAGAAGCATCTGCACTGCCTCTTATCTTTTGATGTCTAATTTGATTAAGAAATCCTAGATCTTAAAAGAACATATGGACAAAATATACATGATATAGATGAAAAAAAAAAGGGACAGGGATCATTGGACGTAGAAGTAAGGATTTTTAGCTGGGCTCGGTGGCTCAGCCTGTAATCCCGCGCCTTTGGGAGGCTGAGGTGAGTGGATTGCCTGAGCCTGCAGGTTCGAGATCCGCCTAGGCAGGCGAGACCTCATCTCTACAATAAATCAAAAAATTAGCTGGGCGTGGTAGCGCACACCTGTAATTCTGGCTACTCGGAAGGCTGAGGCGGAAGGATCGCCGGAGCCCAGCAGGTCGAGGCTGCGGTGGCCGGGAGCAGCCACTGCACTCCAGTCTGGGCGACAGAGTGAGACTCCAACTCAAAAAAAAAAAAAAAAAGAAGTAGGGATTTTTGCCATGTAGTTCTTTTTACAGAGAATGACAGGAGAAATATCTCAGATGTACTCTCACCTTTCTTCACAGCTTCCTCATCAAGTGATTTCAGTACTTCTGTCTTCTTCTCCTGGTTACCTGCCAGGGCAAAAGCATAGGCCAGCAGTGCCTTGGTGTAGACATGGCTGCCATGGGCCCCTTCCTGTGTGGACTTCCAGGCTGATTCCAGGCAGAACAGGGCATTGCGGACAACAGGGTGCTATGAAGGAAGAACAAGAAGGGAACTGAGCTATGGAAACAGGGGCGCTAGCATTCCCAGGTAAACACACAGGTCACACCACAGAAGGTAAAGACATTTTTCTTTCTTTTTTTTTTGAATTGGAGTCTCACTCTGTCGCCCAGACTGGAGTGCAGTGGCAGCTCCCGGCCACCGCAGCCTTGACCTGCTGGGCTCTGGCGATCCTTCCGCCTCAGCCTTTCACGTAGCTGGAACTACAGGAGCGTGCTACCACGCCCGGCTCATTTTGATTTATTGTAGAGATGAGGTCTTGCCAAGTTGCCCGGGCGGGTCTCGAACCAGTGGGCTCAGACAATCCACTCACCTCAGCCTCCCAAGGCGTGGGATTACAGGCTGAGCCGCCGAGTCCGGCTAAGACATTTTTCAAATGCATTTTTTCTATCTATTCCTTACTCTTATGCATAGAAAGAGTAATATTTTTTTTATTTGTTAATTTCATATTCAAATGGCCTATCTTTAAGATTTTTTTTTTTGGTGGTTGGGGAATAGTCTAGGGGAATCAGCGGAAAAGTGTAAACCTTTCTTAAAGGATCGATCAAATTATCTATTTAGCTGAGAAGCACTGGCATCGCATAGAAGGGAAACTGATGCTTGGCTTTTAGTAGGATAGAAGTTCAGACAGCAGTTCAGTGGCTTCATTGCATCCACAACTGTGCTTCAGCAGAGGAATGAAGTGGTACCTACAGTGACTGGCAGGGGAATCTCTAGAAGGGCGATGGAGATGTAAGCGGAGAGGGTCACTTCATCTTCTACTCCTCCCTGGGAACATGAGAGAGAGATTTGAGTACTTCCGCTTCCGCGAATGCTCTTGATGAGCTCTTTCTAGTCTGCTGTGTCATGGAATTCATCTTTTACTCAGGTTCCTTCCCAGGAGACGAAGTATCACAACCAACAATTGTCGCACCCCCTCGCCCTCCAGGCTTTATTTTCCTCTGCTACCTTCCCTTAGACACTTTTACGTTATTATTTCCTCTGTTCATCCTTGCAGATATCATCATGGACAAATTAAAACTAGCTTCAGAATGGTTCACCTTCATGGCATTGTTGAGAAGTGACCCAGAGCTCATGAAACAGCCATTGTCCTTCTGCTTCTGAGAGAGCCACGTGAGGGCTTGGGTGATGTATGCCTCATCAATGAAGATATAGGTTCGAGCCTGGGCAAAAGTCTTCAGTACAAAGGCTGTGAGCCTGACAGGGAAAGGAAGTGATGATGTTTATGTTTTTACAATGGTTTTATAGCCACCTCACAGCAACAGGCTTCAGATGATGTGAGTCACCTAACAAAAATTCTTGTGTACTTAGAACGTCTATCTCCTGTAGTTGCTTTGATTAATCTGTTACATCTAGTATTTCCTTGCTGACTCACTTTCCCTTTGCCACAGGGAGTCTCAGTACTTCTAATTTACTTGTTTTTTTTGGTGCTTCTTTTTTTATCATTATTTTTTATTTTAAAGATGTGTGGGGGTACAATTCAGAGTTAGGTATACAAACGTTGATTATGCAGGTACCCTTGTTGATGAGGTGTGCCCCTCCCTCCCCTAGCAGTTTCCCTCAACTGCCAATCTCACCTCCCCTCTCCTGGCAGTTTCCCACTACTGCCAATCCCTAAGTATGATCTACTTATTTTTGTTACTTATTTGAGTGAGGCTTTAAATCTCTCTTCTCTTAAGAGATTTCCTTCTGTAGATGACATAATATTCTCACATACAGCCCTCATGTGTGGTAACTTTGAATACTGCTTTGCTTTAGGGATTTTAAAAAATAATGTTTCATATCATATTATAACAATAATGTCTTTTTCTTCTTTCCTCCTATTAATTTATTTATTCTAAGTCAAGATAAGTATGATATAAAAACTAATATAAGCTGAAGTTAACATGGTTTATGTGGAAGTAAACATGATACCTGGAAGTTCACTGGCCATATCATTTAAAAACTCATGGTTATGGGAACTATTTTAGAAAGAAAATTTATTTTAGAAAGATGGTCTTGGTATATGATTAATCAATTTTGGAACAAGTCTAAAATACATGTATTTGGGTATCAGCTTTTCTGCTTTACTTTACTAATTTTGGTGTATTGATCTAGTATAACCAACTATAGCTCTAATAATACATAACTGTTAGGGTTGCTGTGGCTACAGTTGTGATAATACATGTCAAAGAGCTGATGCACAAATAGGAACTCAAAAAATTACCACTTCCTTACCAGGTATTGCCCTGATTACTGCTATATTGTTCCCCAAAGGTGCTGTAGGAGCCATCATAGTGTTTGTAGTTCAACTGTCTCTGGTAACCTGGAATGGAAGGTTAGTGAAATAGCATGACAGATTAATGTGACACTGAAGCGGTAGAAATTGCTAAAATGCCTTGGCTTCTCTTGTGATCTTTCTTAAATTTTGTTGTCACACATTAGAAGGTTCTGAGCCCTAAAACATTTTGTTGGAAATTGGAGAGTAAATCGTTTTTATGAAGCTAACCATTATTAATAATATCCTATAATTATATTCTATACATGACCATATTAACTAGTACTCTTATCATAGTCATCATCGTAGTGTGATAAGCTAATCTATCACAGTATTACTAAGTAACTGAAGCCTAATGGGAAATTCAATTGAAATAACAATGTCAATAACTCACCAGTGTTGAGGAAACCAGTGGCCTTGGACTTGACTTCTGGAGTCAACTGCTGTGTTTCATTTAGATAATCCAGAACATAGATGTTAGGTGCAAAGAGAACCATATTCTGTTCTCCACAGCCATAGGGCATCTGGAGGAGATTTTGTGTGTTTTGCATGGCAGAGCCTAATATGTCTCCTAGGGAATGGGCGAGATGGGAAGTCATAAAGCTTAGAGATTATAATCTATGAGGATCATTACAAAGAAATAATTAGTTAAGCTAAAGAAAATGTAAATTTTGAAGAAGGGTAAGTCTTCAAGAGGTATATAATTGGAAGTAATAGACAAGCCCAAAGAAGGAGAGAAGAAAGAAGTTATAATTAAAGTTGTTATTTTTAGTAAACATTTATGGAAGGTAAATAAAGTAGAAGCTGTTAATGCCCAAATCCACTAGGAGGTGGAGACTCACCCAAAACTGACATGGTGGCTCGAGCAGAGTTTTCGACCACATTTGGTGGCAATTTTAGGAGTATTTCTTCAGAGACCTCAGCACCTAGAGAAGAAAACAAAATCGTCATATGGATATTGCTTCTTTACTATATCTTTTTAAGGAGCTCTTAGATTGAGAATCTAAGACTGTGCCTTACACCTAAACTTCTGCAGAAAAATTGTCCCTCTTTTAAAAGAACAGTTTTTTAAAAAAAATTTTCTTAAAAATGTGCTACTGGGATTATGAGATTTCCAGATTTTCTTCTTCAACTATCTTTCCTCCTGCATGTAGAACTGCATTCCAAAAGAAGAAAAATTGATAAGAGCTAGGTAAATTATGATTCCATTGTCATGTGATGGTTAACACAAGATGGTTATAACAATATCCATGTAGTGCTCACCCCAACCTTCCTACTCAATAGTTGTACAAGAGAAAAAGGAAACAAAACTCTGTATGTGCATGTAAGCAGAGGAAAAATTCTCCACAAAAGATCACAAATCTTACAATAAAGCTATGTCCTTTGTTCAGTTAAATTTCAGATATAAAGATAGTATTTTTATAAGTCCTAAAAAATGGGTGTAGAGAGGTAAAAATGAACAGTATTTGACTCACTGAAAATAAAATAACTGCTACTGATGACCATACATTTACTTCCATTTTAATCTTGGTGAATTATATGAAGATGAAATGAGAGATGTGTAGTTATTTATATTCATACTGCATAAATTTTTTCACAAAATTAATATTAAAAGCTTTGTGAAAAAAAGATACCATAAACAAAGTTAAAAAACAAATGATCAGGTAAAAGAAAATGTTTCAATTCATTGATAATAAAATAATTGTTACTGACAAACATATTTACTGCCATTTTCATCTTGCTGCATTATGAAAAAAGGCAATGAGAATAGTGTACTATTTGTCTTTCCTTTCTCATAAAATTAATATCAACGATTTTGTAAGAAAATAGGTGTCATATACAAAGTTAAAGACAAATGATACAACAGATAAATAATCAATGTCATACAACAGAGTCAGAAAAACACTAATTATTCAAAACACAAATGGTCAAAGGTTATGAAGGCAATTCACAAATATGCAAAATAAGTTCATTTTCACTTGTGATTAAGAAAATATAAAGTCAAACAACAGTAAAATGGTTTTTCACCCAAATTTTTGGCAAAAAATAAAACATTGATAACAGATGATAGCAAGCAAACATTATAGAAATGCATACTGGTGGAAGTTTAAATGTATTTAGGCAATAAAGAGGGTGAATTTTTTTTTTAGTTTAATTAAAACTCAGGCTAAAGCCAGATGGTGGAATGGAAAGTCTCAGATTCCTCCCTTCTCCACAGAAAGTTCAACAAGCAACTGTTCACAGAACATCTTACTGAAAACGCCAATACTGGGAAACAAATCTGGAACACCCACATGGTCCACAGAATTTAGCAAAAACCAAATTAGAATGATAAGGAATAATGGTCTCACTTTGACCATGCCACCCTTAATTTAGCACAATGTCAGATGGAGAGGATTTCTCTGGGCTTACAGTTTCTGCAGGGGAAAAAAGAGAACCAGAGGCAGCCATCTAGTTTTTCAAGCATTCCAAGGTGCTTCTTAGGAATCCCACTTTGGTCTTATCCCATGGGGAACACTGGAAGTAATAGCATGGTTAGATCACCTGGGGTCAGCTAGAAACAAAGAGACAGAGCTCACAGTGAACAACATGTGAATCTTGGTGGTACCTCTGTGTTTTTGCCGGCTATGGCACCTATTCATAGAAAATAGCCAACCGTATAGCTCACCTGCAAAGCTGAGCTGGTTACTTTCAGAAGCACAATGGGCAGCTCAACTGGGCTCAAGTTTCTAGATAGCCAGTCTCCAAGCCTAGTCTCAGAGCTCACCCCAACAACTCCACCCAGGTAGGAGACACCACTTGTGAGCATTTCAGATATGTAAGGGAGGTAGATCTGCCTGACCTAGGAGTAGCTCAGCTCAGCTCAGCTCAAAAGCTGACCCAATGACTGCTCAGGTTGGGAGACATTTACCTCTGTACATTTTGGAGAAGTATAGATACTAGACCTGTTTGACTCAAGAGTCCACAGAGTGGCTCAGCTCAGCCAAAAAGCCTGTCCAATGACCCCACACAGGCAGATAAATGCCTGCCCAGCTTTCACATAAGGGGCTGGAACTGTGTGATGTGAGAGTTAAACTATGACCAAACTCAGCCAAAACCTCACCCCATAACTTCACCCACAAAGGGAGGCAATTCTCAATCATGCATTTCTTTTTTTCTTTTTGAGTTGGAGTCTCACTCTGTCACTCAGACTGGAGTGCAGTGGCTGCTCCTGGCCACTGCAGCCTCGACCTGCTGGGCTCCGGCAATCCTTCTGCCTCAGCCTTCCAAGTAGCTGGAACTACAGGTGCACGCAACCACGCCCGGCTAATTTTTGATTTATTGTAGAGATGCAGTCTTGTCAAGTTGCCCAGGCGGGTCTCAAACCCTCAGACTCAGGCAATCCACTCACCTCGGCCTCCCAAAGTGCTGGAATTACAGGCTGAGCCACCGAGCCCGGCCTCAATCATGCATTTCTAAGGAGCATAACCTTTGGTTTCACTCATCCTAAGCAGTGACTCCACCTAACCTCAGAGCCAAACCTATAACCGTATCAAACTACCGGTTTCAAACAGCAGAATCATCCATCTAGGCAATACATCTTGTGACTGGCCTGACCAGGGACCATTTTAATACCCAGTCAGCAGCTCCACCTGATAGCAGAGTCCAACCAGTGATCTTTCCAGACAGTAGAGTTCAGCCAGTGGTCTCACCCATCATCAGAGCAAAGTCAGTGGCCTAACCAACCAAAGGACCCACAACAAGCTTTGCTCTTTGAGACTGTTACCAACTGGCCTTTCCAGAATTACAGGGTAAACTAAATGAAGTGAAGGTTTATCCCTGCCAAAGAACATCTATAAAGGCCAGAGGAAGTGGCTGTCTTCTCAAATGCATAGACAAAATGCAAGGACACAGGACTATACAGAATCAGGGAATCATGACACCTCCAAAAGAAACTAACAAAATCCCCAAAATTGATCTTCTAGAATTGGAGATCTATAAAATCACTGACAAAGATTTCAGAATGATTCTCTTAAAGAAGTTCAGTGAACTATAAGAATATAAAAATACAACATTGAGTGAAATTTAAAAAACAATACACAAGCATAGCAAGAAATTTGATATAGAAATAAAAACAATAAAAAAGAAGTCCTAGAGATGAAGAATATAATGACTGAACTAAAAAATTTAATAGAGAGCTTCAACAGCAGACTTGATCAAGCAGAAGAAAGAATCAGTGCACTAAAAGACAGAATATCATTCTTGAATTATTCAGTTGGAAAAGCAAATAGACAAAATAATAAAAAAGAATAAAGAAAGCTTATCACACAAGAAAAAAACATCCAAATTAAAAGGAAAGAAGTAAAATTTTCACTGTTGGTGATGATGCAACCTCACATATAGGAAACTCTAAAGACTTCACAAAAAAGCTGTTAGAACTAATGAGTGCATACAGTACAGTTGCAGGATACAAAATCAACACACAAAGATCCACAGCATTTCTATTCTAACAATAAACTATCAGAAATCAAGAGAACAATCTCATTTGCAATAACTATGAAAAAAAGTAGAAATAAATTTAATCATGAAGGTGAAATGTAGACCAGAAGCCATAAAACATTCATTAAGAAGACACCAACAAATGAAAAAATATCCAGTGTTCATGGATTGAAAGAATATTGTTAAAATGTCCATTCTACCCAAAAAGTGATCTACAGCTTCAATGTAATCTCTATTAAAATCTGTTTCATTTTTATAGAGATAGAAAACCCTACAGTTCATAAGGAATCACAAAAAACTCCAAATAGCCAAAGCAATTATGAAAAAAGAACAAAACTGGAGCTATCACTCTACCTGATTTCAAACTATATTACAAGTCTATAGTAATTTAAACAACATAGCACTGGCATAAAAATAGGCACCTTAACCAATGGAACACAATAAAGAGCTCAGAAATGAATCCATGCGTGTACAATCCATTGAATTTTGACAAACATGCCAAGAATACACAATGAGAAAAGAAAAGCCTATTCAAGAAATTATTTTGGGAAAACTTGATATTCACATGCAGAAAAATGCAATTGTGCCCTTATATCACATCATATACAAAACTCAACTAAAAATGGATGACATATTTAAATGTAAGACTTGAAATTATAAAACTATTAGAAGAAAATGTAGGGGAAAAAAAACGATATGATATTGGTCTGGGCAATGATATTTTTGGATGTGAACCCAGAAGCACAGGCAGCAAAAGAAAAAATAGACAAATGGGATTTCCTTAAACTAAAAAGCTTCTCCACAGCAAAGGAAACAATTAACAGTGTGAAGAGAAAAACTACTGACTGGGAGAAAACATTTGCAAACCGTATATCTTACAAGGAGTTACTTTTAAAATATAAAAGGAACTCATACAATGCAATAGGAAGAAAAAAAATAATCTGATAAAAAATGAGCAAGGGACCTGAAAAGACGTTTTTCTAAAGGAGACCTGCAAAAGATCAACAGATACATTAAAAATGCTCAGCATTGCTAATCACTAGAAAAATGCCAACTAAAATCACAATGAGATACCACCTTACACCTGTCAGAATGGTTGTTGTCAAAAAGTAGAAGATAACAAGTACTGGCAAAGATCTGAAAAGAGGGAACCTCTGTGTACTGTTCATGAGAATGTACATTAGTAAAGTCATTATGGAAAATGATCTGGAGGTTCCTTAAAAAAACAGAATAATTACATTATCCAGAGAGCCCATCTCTGGGTATTTATTCAAAATATTTGAAATCAATTTGTTGAACAAAAGCCTGCATTCCCATGTTCACATCTTTGTGTACTGTTCATGAGAATGTACATTAGTAAAGTCATTATGGAAAACTATGTGGAGGTTCCTTAAAAAAACAGAATAATTACATTATCCAGGGAGCCCATCTCTGGGTATTTATTCAAAATATTTGAAATCAGTTTGTTGAACAGAAGCCTGCATTCCCATGTTCACTGCAACACTATTCACAGTAACCTGGTGATGGAATCATAAGTGTCCATCAACAGATGGCTGAATAAAGAATGTGATACATATACACAATGGAAAGCTATTCAGTCTTTAAAAAAGGGACATTTTGTAACTTGTGACAATATAATTGAACCAGGGGGACGTTATGCTAAGTGAAATAAGTCAAGATCGAAAGACATAATACATGTTCTCATATGTATATGGAATCTAAAACAATCAAACTCACAGAAGCAGAAGTATAATAGTGGTTACAGAGAACAGGGATGGGGTTATGTTCAAAGAACACAAAGTCTCAGACAGGAGCAATACTTTTTTTTTTGCAATCTGTTGCACATGGTAGCGAATATAGGTAATATTAATGTATTGTACATTTCAAAGTTGCTTAGAGAGTAAATTTCAAATGTTCTCATAATAAAAAGTATTTGAGATGATGAATATGTTGATCAGCTTAATTTTATTTATTTCACATTGTATTTTATAAATCATAACATCATTTTGTATACTATAAATATATACAGTTATAAATTGTCAATCTACAATGTAATTAAATAAAAAAACCCCAAAACCAACCAACCAACAAAAAAGCTATGTACATGTATGCAGAATACCTCTGACAGAAATTTCACATTTTGATGTCTACACTAGCTACACTTGTATGTGTACACAAGGAGGCTATTACTATCATTAATTAATTAATTAATTATTACTGGCAAATAGTTAGAAAAACCAATATGGAAAGGCTAAACAACCAAGCAGAAGTGTAATATATTGTTATTATGGAATCAAAGGCAATGAAAAGGCATGATCTATATCTATAATTTAAAATAGATCTCCAAGATAGATTGCTGAGTAAAAAACAAAGAATGAGTTATAGAATGAAATTTATAAAATTCATGTAAATCACACATACAATCAAACACATCTACACATGTCATTTCTAAAGGTACATGGGAGATCATTAAAGTATTAAAAAATATTACAGGAAGGTGACATGAGCCATTAGTTTTTAAGTCAGGTCTTCATCATAAAAAACTAGTATTATTATTTTTTGAGTCTGTCACTCAGGCTGCAGTGCTGTGGCATAGTCAAGCTCACCATAGGCTCAAACTTTTGAGCTCAAACAATCCTCCCACCTCGACCTTCCAAAGTGCTGGGATTACAGGAGTGAGCCACCACATCCAGCCAGATATTAGTCCTCAATATGATATTTTGTTTTTTTAAAGGAGAATATATTTTTTGTATCAATATAGGGGTAATTAAACTTAATTGAATGAGTAATTAAGATAAATTTTAATACAACTGCTTGATGATTAGCTTGGATACCTAATAGCTAAATCAAAATGAAGAACTCAGAAATAGAGAAGTATTGATAAAATAATTGAGTGGATATTGATAAAAGAATTGTTATTTCCTTTGCTATGGAGAAGCTTTTTAGTTTAATCCCATATATCTATTTTTGCTTTTGTGGCCTGTGCTTTTGGGGGCACATCCAAAAATATCATTGCCCAGATCAATATCATGTATGTTTTTCCCCTGCAAACTCTAATTCATCTTCTACATTCCACCTAAATGTAGAAATAAGGGTAAGCAACTGGGAAATTATATTTTTAGAACACATTTTGTGTGTTAAGTTTTTTTGACAACATAAAAACATAGTGATTGGCATTAATAGGTAGATAGAGAAAGGCAATCAACATATGTATGATGTTGACTTGAATTTGGTTTGGGATGAGAACATAATGTGTAAATATACATTTCTTAGTGTACTAACTTTTGTAAATGTTTTTGTTTAGACTAGAAATTTCTCCATCAGGAAAAAGTTATATATTTTAAGTTCCTTTAGTTCCTTCTCAAATGACTGATAGGACGCTAGGTACAGGATTGGTATCAAACTATATTAATATGAAAATTATGGTAAGAGCCATGACAACTCTTTTCTTTAGAAAATAGCACAGTCCCACTATCAAATGCTGTTGGTGCTGCAAAACTCAGTGTTAGAATGGCCTGAATTCAGTTATCCACATGTTGTATTACTGATTATTCAAGGAAATATCCCCTTTTTATTCTATCCCACTTTCTTCCTATACCCACACCATACACTGGTCATAAAGACATCCTGGTGTTTGCATTGACACTGCAAAAGATCAAGACTTGGGGTGCATGGCCTTGGAAGAGTCTCTTGATCAAATTACTTAACCTAAGAACTGTTTTCCTCATTTGTCAAATGTGTTGATGGTACTTCAGATCTTACCTCATAGGGAAAGTGCAGGAGTAATATATACAAGTGATTTGAACTTCAGATGTTAAGCAAACTTTAGCCAATATTTTAAAGATTATGATGGTTGACTCTTACCTGATGGACAAAGCAGGCAGTTGAATGTGGCTTCCTTCTCTAGTCCTTCAGGCTTTAGATAAAAGAAAGAAAAGTTAGAGGTGATAATGGATTGACTTTTGGTACATGTGTGTTGATAAGAGAACTACAGATTTCTGGATAGTGAAGAAAATAATATGAGTTGTAGTATATAAACAAATTCTGTAAGTATAAGCTGTATGAGGGATACATGAAAAAATGAAGAAAAAAATTAGAGAACATAAATCAAGGGAGATACAGATAGAGATGACAGAGAGAAAGAATAAGTCAGAATCTTACTCTGTCACCCAGGCTGGAGTGCAGTGGCACGATTACAGCTCACCACAGCCTCCACCTCCTGAGCTCAGGTGATCCTTTCACCTCAGCCTCCCGGGGAAGTTGGGACTATAGGTGTGCACCACCACTTCCAGCTAGTTTAAAAAAAATTTTTTTTGGTAGAGACAAGATCTCGCTATGTTGCCTAGGCTGGTCTTAAACCCTGAACTTGAGTGATCCTTTGGTCTCAGCCTCCCAAAGTGCTGGGATCATAGGCCTGAGCCTCTGTGCCTGGCCTCATCAGTTGTTCTTTGCAACTCAGTTGTGACCTATCACATGGGCAGGCTTACTTACTTCAACCAACAGGGGCTTGATGATTGTGTCTTTCTTTCCATATTCAGGAACCGAAGGCACCTCAGTCCCACATAGCTCTTGAGACTCTAGTGCCTCTGCACTCACAGTGAAATTCACAGTTCCTGAAAAAAAGGCCAACAGAGATGAGTTCTATCATCCCCTTCCTCCATTCCTCCAAACTCAAGATTTATAAATAGTCAGTACTCTGTGAACTTTTGTTTTGTGTATACACAGAAGCAGGGATGGAAACGGCATAAATGAGAGGTTAATGGTACTGAGAATCCAAGTTGGAAATGTTGGAGATAGCCTTCTAGGCATCTTAGAATGAAAGACAAAGAAATACAATTGTACCATTTGGGGGTCTTCTTCTGAGGGAAGTAGCACTGGATAAATGATTCCTAATGATATAAACAATCTTTGAGTAGGGAGTTATCTCTAGGAGTTTGTCCCTCACCTAATGACTTCGGGGTTACTGCCCAGGACAGAGTTTGCCGCTCGTCTCTACAGACGCAGTGAGACTCTTGTTCCTTCTCCTCAGGAACAGCTAGGAATGTGGGAGAGGCTTCCAGCTGCACACTGACCTAAAAACCACATATAAGGCAGAGATTGGAGTGAGAAAAAGATTAGAGAAAGAATGGGCTTGAGATAAAGCATATCGAGGGATTGGCTAGAGTTCAGGGTGCCTAGTATTAAAAATGATAAAAACAAAGTCCAAGTACCTTTAGTACGTTTAGGTGGATCTGACATCTAGATCTGAGTATTTTAGGGGCAACCTCCTCTTTCAGGTAGTGGAACCAGAGGAGAGCAAAGACAGAGATAGCATCATGTCGCTCTACTTCTTTGGCTTGGAACCTTCACTATTCTCTCAACTCTGCCAGCAGAGTATATAAGATTTATAAAGAATTATGCTTTCAGCAGAGGTAAGATGCTCACAATCAACTTTTAATATAATAAATGAGTTTTGAAAAGTCAAATACATGAGAATGTAGAGGTTGAGACCTTGTAGAACCTAGGACATGAGAATGAAGAGTTCTGATTTTTGTGGTCCCTATTAGAAATCTTCATACTGCACAGACTACCTAACTTTAATGAGTTAGGATAAAAACTAAACTCTCGTTTTAAGTTGCAATTTGGTATTTGGAGATATCAGCATCTGTAACTTACATAATGAATGAATATCTGATGGTATTCCTTCTCTAGTCATCACATCTTGTACACATCAGTTGTCAGTATTCTTAGGAATGCAACTCTTAGTTTACTTAACCGTTACCTCATGTTTAATTTAGGAAAGAGAGCCTTACCCGGATGCATTTGGGAAGGTAGTTTAAAACAGTGGCCTTGAGCGTGAAGGCCTCTCCGCGAACCACGGAGTAGGGCATTGTGAGCTCCACAAAGAAGGGCTGGAAGGCCCGGAGAGAGGCAGTGGGAGAGAGGCCAAGTCCAGTGTCTTCCGACAGGCAGAGGGCCCCTGCCTTCCACTCGGTGATGGTGTCGGGGACTGTGACTCCTACCTCAGCCGCACCTGATGAGCTGGGGAGGGCGACAATGTGAAGAGCAGAAAGTAAGCAGTCAAATCAGTCCTTTCTTTCTTTCTTTTTTTTTTTTTTTTTTGAATTGGAGTCTCACTCTGTCACCCAGACTGGAGTGCAGTGGCCGCTCCCGGTCACCGCAGCCTCGACCTGCTGGCCTCCGGCGATCCTCCCACCTCAGCCTTCCAAGTAGCTGGAACTACAGGCGCGCGCTACCACGCACGGCTAATTTTTTGATTTATTGTAGAGATGAGGTCTCGCCAAGTTGCCCAGGCGGGTCTCGAACCCGCGGGCTCAGGCAATCCACTCACCTCAGCCTCCTCAAGCGAGGGATTACAGGCTGAGCCACCGAGCCCGGCTAAATCAGTCCTTTCTATGAAGAGAACCCCTGTAAATGGTTCGGTTGTCATGACTTGAGTGCACTCAATAGATATTCAATGATGGAAAGTATAATTAAGGCTTGAGAAGGGAACTGTAAATCTATTTCTTCCAACGGTTTTCAATTCTAGTCTGTATTAGAATCTCCTACAGACATACAGTTGTAACACAATCTTTTACAAACAATACAGTTATAAGCTTAATATGTAATTTGAGATTGTCTTTAATTTCTCTTCTCTAAAATGCTAGTCCACTGAGGGCTGGTTTAAAATTTTTAATTCTACTACTATTGTGTATAGTGGACTCGACTAAATCTGGGTTTAATTTAAGATTGCTGACCAATCTTATAGGTGTTAATCTGGGTAGTACTTGGTAATATTTGGTCCTCATGTCCATTTTCTGAAAATCTTAAAGTTAAATTTATGCAGAATGTCTTAGCTCTGATACAATTAGATCAGTGTGACTTTATAACAGAAGTATTGATGTTAAACCTGTCATGAAAATAGCAATGGGTTTAAAAGAAATACTTCAATACAGAAAAAGTAGTTTCTCCCTGAAGGGGTTTGTCTACACACTTTCTCAGTTGCTGCCTGGGTGTTGGGCTTCTAATTATTCAGCATCTGAAATCAGAAGGAGCAGATAAACAATGGACCTCCAGGAGCTTGAGAGGAAGTGAGGGCACTTTCCATTCTTTCTTTCCTACCCCACTGATTTGTTTCAGGGATAAAATAAAACTTGATTTCCAGGTTCTCTCTGGAAGGAATTTGTTCACACTTCTCAGTGCAAATGTAGTTTGATATAGCTATTATGAAAACCAATATGAAGATTTCTTCAAAAAATTAAAAATGAAGCTACCATATGACACAGAAATTCCTCTTCTAGGTGTATGCTCAAAGGAAATGAAATCAGCACCTTATAGAAATGTATGTTGACCTGTGTTCACTGCAGCATTATTCAAAGTAGCCAAGATATAGAAATAATCTGCCTCTCTTTCTCTCTATATTATATATATGCATATATTAAATGTATGCATACATATATATGGAATCTTAGCATTTTTTTTTTTGAGTTGGAGTCTCACTCTGTCGCCCAGACTGGAGTGCAGTGGCTGCTCCTGGCCACCGCAGCCTCAACCTGCTGGGATCCGGCAATCCTTCTGCCTCAGCCTTCCAAGTAGCCAGAACTACAGGTGCGCGCTACCACACCAGGCTAATTTTTGATTTATTGTAGAGATGAGGTCTCACCAAGTTGCCCAGGCGGGTCTCGAACCCGCGGGCTCTGGCAATCCACTCACCTCAGCCTCCCAAGGCGCGGGATTACAGGCTGAGCCACCAAACCTGGCCAGAATCTTAGCATTAAAAGGAAGAAGATCCTGCCATTTGTAACAAAATGGATGAACCTGGAGGATATTATGCTAAATGAAATAAGCCAGACACAGAAAGAAACACAGATACTACATTATCTCATTTGCATGTGGAATCTAAAAGAAATTGAACACACAGAAACAGAGTAGAATGGTATTGGGAGTTGAGGGGTGATGAGGAGATGCAGGTCAAAGGGTACAAAGTTGCAGTTATGTAGAATGAATAAATCTAGAGATCTAATGTACAGCATGAAGTGAACCTTGATTTGACAAAATGAGAATGTAAATAAACACATAATTACTACCAGATTCATCAAAGAACTAACTTATATCACTGGCAAGTTTCTGTGGTTCCAACATGAATGCTGGCCGATGTGTGGGGAAAGTCAAAGACTATATGCAGACTATAGTTGATAATATAGAACTGTACACTGGAAACTGGCTAAGAGGATAGATTTTAGGTACTGTTATTGCACATACAAAGACAGGTAACAATGTGAGGTGATAGATATGTTAATTTGCTTGATTGTAGTAATCATTTCACTATGTGTATGTATATAAAAACCATGTTTTACACCTTCAATATATACAATAAAAACAGAAAAACTAGCTAAGAATTGAAAATAGTGAAGGATCTATATTGTTCCATCTTGTATATAAAAGATGTTACTTACTCTACCACCACCAAATCCCAAATCCATGTCTCGGGAAAGTACTTTCGTACAGTCTCTGCATGAAGAGCTTCAAGATTTAATGCTAGTGGTACATGGTTTCTTTGCAATGAATCTGATGCTATAGTGGATGAGAGAGAAAACAGGAACAATAAATAGACATATAAAGCTTATGTGAGGTCATAATAAATGCTCTCAAATAAATAACTAGGGTGATGAAATAAAGAGGATCCAGGAGAGAGCACATGGGGCATCAGAGAAAGCCTTCTTTGGGAAGGTAATATTTTAGCTGAATTCTGAAGTATTAGAATAACCTAAGAGAGAGCTAGTGGAAGAGAATCATTAGAAGAGGACATGGACTTTGGCAGAAAGAGCCTTGGCTTGTCTATGGAGCAGAAGGACTCTGTGGAGTCCTATGTGGTTACTGCCATTGTGCTAGGTGGAGAGTGCTATGACAAGGGGCTGGGATGAGGACAGGAGTCCAAGTTTCTATTGGTGTGTCCCTCTGTGGATGCAAAGAAAAATCATGACACAGACATTATGACAATGACTTCAGGAAATGGACCTCCAGGAGTTTGAAAGGAAGTGAGGGCACGTTCCATTCTTTCTCTCCTACCCCACTGATTTGTTTCAGGGATAAAATAAAACTCGGTTTACAGGTTCTCTCTGGAAGGAATTTGTTCACACTTCTCAGTGCAAATGTAGTTTGATATAGCTATTATGAAAACCAGTATGAAGATTTCTTTAAAAATTAAAAATGAAGCTACCATATGACCCAGAAATCCCACTTCTAGGTATTTTACAGGAGTGAAAAGATCAAGTATAAAAAAAGGCTCTAGGCCGGCTGGGTGGCTCAGCCTGTAATCCCGCACTTTGGGAGGCTGTGGTGAGTGGACTGCCTGAGCCTGCGGGTTCGAGACCCGCCTGGGCAACTTGGTGAAACCTCATCTCTACAATAAATCAAAAAATTAGCCAGCTACTTGGAAGGCCGAGGCGGAAGGATCGCCGGAGCCCAGCAGGTTGAGGCTGCGGTGGCTGGGAGCGGCCACTGCACTCCAGACTGGGTAACAGAGTGAGACTCCAACTCAAAAAAAGAAAAAAGACTCTTTATTCCATTTTGCCCCAAAAGATCAGAATTTGTGCGTGTATATTTATAGAGAGAGAGAGAATGAGAGTGTATATATGTACAAATATATACATAAATGTAGATTATATATACTTGTACATACTCAAGTTTACAACAAATCTTACTGACAAAGGATTATAAAATATAATTTACAAATAATAAAGTATGAAACAGTCTTTATAGTAAATTTCACGTAGCCAGTTGATTCTACCTGAATGCTTTCCTTGAGTTTTGAAACTTTTTTGTTTGTACTCAACTTATCTTCAACTATGATCTGGCAATATGAGATTATAAATAAACACTCGATTCTATAAGATTCGTCAAAGAAGTAACTCACATCACTGATGAATGTATGTGGTTCCAGTGTGAACATTGGCTGATGTTTTGGGGAAGTTGAGTTTTTTTTTTACTTGACAGATGAAAGCATAGCTCTGTTTTGTAGGCATTTCTATTTCTGTTTACACTAATCCTATACTTGGAAACTTTCTCTTCCCTTTTCAACACAGCACATCTCTATTTACCAGAAGCAAATTCTTCATTAATGACATCTCTGTTTCCCCAAGTAGCGTTAACCCTTTCTTTTTCTTTTTTTTTTGAGTTGGAGTCTCACTCTGTCACCCAGACTGGAGTGCAGTGGCCGCTCCCGGCCACCGCAGCCTCGACCTGCTGGCTCCGGCGATCCTTCCGCCTTAGCCTTCCAAGTAGCCGGAATTACAGGCATGTGCTACCATGACAGGCTGATTTTTTGATTTTATTGTAGAGATGAGGTCTCGCTGCCCAGGCGGGTCTCGAACCCGCGGGCTCAGGCAATCCACTCACCTCAGCCTCCCAAAGGCGCGGGATTACAGGCTGAGCCACCGAGCCCGGCCATTCCTTTCTTTTACTTTGCATATTTGCACCTCTCTTACAGGACTTTTCACAGTCTGCCTTGTATTAATGCCAGCTTTGCAATGTGGGTGGACTGACACAGTCAGAAGATTTGTTTATATTGCTATGTGACCTTGAACAAATAACCTTACTAATCAATCACAAGTCCATTTTTGCTAATTTTTATCACATTTTATCTTAAAATTTCAATTTGGTTTGATACATTAGACAATACATTTTTCATTAAATTTTTTACCAAAATAAGCTACACGTAGACCTTCGGGTGCCTGAATTTCATATGCTTGTGGCTGTGGACATATTCTGGGTTTATAAATCTTTGAGTTGGTGAATACCTTTAGGCCCATATCCTGTAAAGGAAATTATCACCTAATCAGTACATATGTATTATAAAATACACATAGGTGCATACTTCTCATTGAATTTGACAAACAATCCAGTTAGATTAATATTAAACTTTTAATGCTACATCTGTAAAAGTAATATTAGAATTCTTTTAGGGGTCATTGAATTCTTTTCTTTAAACTTTTTCAACAGTAATTGTCTTATATATGTAACATTTATAAATATCACAATGCAATGCATTTCAATAAAAAAGAAAACGTAATTAATTGTCCAAAAAGTTTCAGTCTGATTCTGTAGCTTTTAGTAATTCTGCTATTAGTCACTTTGGAGAAGCAACTTGACCTCTTTACATCCCATTACCCTCAATCGTGACATAAAGGCATTAAAATAAATAATCTTTTCCATATATAATATTTTAAGAGCCTTAGGCACAGACAATCTACGATGTAAGGAATTTACCTGTAGAAAGTCAGACATATCTTTTTCATTTGTATTTGATACTGGGGAATATGTGATTCCATTAATATAGACATTATGGCGATTGATACAGTCTCCATGGAGCTCCTCCTGCGCATTCAAACCCTCAGGGAAGCCACTGAGGTCCTTTACTGGTAGCAAGTTATAAACCTGTAGCAATACACAGGACAAGAGAATAAACTCATTTGTGATTTTTGTTAAGTTCAAGGGGAAAAGGACAAGAAAAGTCAACAGCAATCTTTGGCTGAGTGCTCTCATTGCTTTGATGATTTATAGAGAGTGTAAGGATTATGGTATTTTCTTAAAACAGTGTTTTCGTTTTGACGATGTTTAATGATTTCAGGAAAAAACCCCAAACTTCCCATCCAAATACTCAGGGACTATAATACTTTGTTGTACAGATCAGAGGCAAACACTAGACTCAACACTGGAATGAAATAAAACTATTAATTGAGAAATTCAAGTCTGCTATATTTGAGACATTGTACAAATCTTTATGATGGTAGAATGAAATGATAGCGTTGTATCTATCTTGTGGTTAGCATCAGATTCAGTATGTTACAAAGTTAATGGATGCATGTTCTAAACAGGCATTTTATTAGGTATTTATTAGTGGAAGCAAAATGTTCCAGATTTCCACATGATACATAAAATTTTAAGTGTAAAATACTGAACACTATGCTTTCAAATTCATTTGAAGGAGGGGAGTAAGACAGATATAAGAATGCTGATTGGTATACTGTATTATATTTACAGAGGCTTAAAATTGATTGACAAGAATAGATAAGCAAAGTGAGTAGTGTGATAAATTAGACACTTTCTCAAAAGAAAATTTTAATTGAAAATATTAGAGTTAGGAAGTATTTAGTGCATTTTAACAGTGGGAGCAAGGGAATACATGAAAAATAACATTCATATTTTATATTTTTAAAAATAATTTTATAGTTCTCAAAGGATTTTTTTAGTTACAGAAATTCTGGTGGTTAGATAAGTCTTAACAGTCCCCATTTTCCCTCCCTGCTTTATTTTTCTCTGCAGCTTATTGCATAATTATTGTCTGTCTCATCTATGAGAATATTAGTTCCATGAGACATACATTTTTATGCTAGATCCCCAGAACACAGTAAGCATTAAATAAATGTGTTAAATGAATGACTTACACCAGAAGAAGCAAAGCGGTTCACTGGTAAAATACTAATCAAGGGTTGAAAAGAACTAGTTTTTTTAAGCCCAGGTCTACTACTAAATACCTGAAATCTTATGCTGTATTATTAATAAGTTAAATAAGATTGTCTGCCTTACCTATCCATCAGTGTTGTTATGATTTAAAAAAAAAACTTTTGAGAACTATAAAATTATGATATAAAAATGTAGAACATTAATGTCTTCTTGCTCCCACTATTAAAATATACTTAATACTTCCTTTAGAAGTATTCTATTATTATTATTATTATTTTCTTTTTATATTCCGAGTTGGAGTCTCACTCTGTGGCCCAGACTGGAGTGCAGTGGCTGCTCCCGACCACTGCAGCCTCGACCTGCTGGGCTCCGGCGATCCTTCCTCCTCAGCCTTCCAAGAAGCTGAAACTACAGGCACGCGCTACCACACCCGGCTACTTTTTTTATTTATTGTAGAGATGAGGTCTCGCCAAGTTGCCCAGGCGGGTCTTGAATCCGCGGGCTCAGGCAATCCACTCACCTCAGCCTCCCAAAGCGCGGGATTACAGGCTGAGCCACCGAGCCCAGTGTATTCTATTATTTTTAGTTAAAATCTCATCGGATGGGTCAAAAAATAAGAAATATTTTCTTTTTTAAAATTTTAATTTTAAAGATATGGGGTGCATTTTGAAATATTTTCTTATAAGTTTCTATTTTAAGAAAGTAAAAATATAAAAATTTTCTTTGTAAAATTTGATAGAAAAAGCTTCAGTAAGTGATTATTCCAATTGATTGCATATTGAAAATGTGAAGATATGAGCAAACTGCTATTAGTACATGCTGAGTGGTTTCTTGTTCCAGTCAAGTATACCTTCTGCAATTTCTTCTGTTATTTTAACAGAGCTCATTTGTCAATGTCAGTTATCATACAGTAATTCATTTTTCCTAATTTTTATTCCTAAGAGATCTTACATATCTTCCTCCAGAAATTATGTTCAGCTTGAGACAGTCATTATTTCTATTGATATGATTCTTATAAAAAAAGAAACTTGATACTTCATTTAGCCTGTGTAGTCTTAGTGTAGGTCAGTATATCACTTTTGTTAAGCTTTGGAAATGTTAGAACTAGCTTGAACAATCTCCTATTATTGGTTTCATGGAGCTCAGGAATTTCGGGGACTGTGGGTAGTACATGGTCTTTCACACCATATATATATTATTGTATAGCTCTCTATATATTTGTATATATATATATATAGTGTGTGTGTAAATATATATGTATATATACATATATATATTTATGAATGACTTCCCTAATTCTTCAATCAAAGTTAATCTTGTTTGCATATCTGCATCTCTCTTGTAACACTTTTCACAATCTACCTTGTATTCTCTCTGGCCTTGCATATTTGGGTGTCTTGACACAATTAGAATGTTTGCATCTGTATTATTATGTGACCTTCAGCAAGACTCTTAATATATCTGAATCACAAGGTTTTTTTTGTTGTTAATTTTATAACATTTTATCTTAAAATGTTTTTAAAATTTGGTTCAACATACTATATTAGGCAATGCATTTTTTTACATGCAGCAGCTGCTCTCTCTCTCTCTCTCTGTGTGTGTGTGTGTGTGTGTGTGTATGAACTCAAAAGAAAAATAATTATTTATAACAAATTGTGTATTTAATTCTTACAAGTTTAAACTTCATTCACCTTCAAAGTACTCTCTATCTCAGTACACCTATCGAGATGCGTTTTCCATTGCTCAAAATAGTTTCTGAACTTGTCAATATTTAAGACTTACAGTGCTTCTGCCATTTTTTGTTTCACCTCTTCCACGTGGGCAAAATGTTTCCTTTTGAGGCCTTTTTTTAATTTGGAGAAACAAAAAAAAGCTCTCAGGGTGAGATCTGGTGAATAGAGGGGACGAGGCACGGGGGTTATGCAGTTTTTGGTCAAAAACGAACACTCAGCTTGGTGTGAGCAGATTCGTGTAAATCACCCATCATGAAATGGGCAAATGTGTTGAAGGAATCTCCAAAAAAGGTCACCAAAGTTGAACACAGCCTCTCACAACGATGCTAGCTGGCACACTGTGGCCAGTATGTTCCTAGAACACTTACCTAGCGGGGCAAGCCTTGTACTACAAGGGGCCTGCCCTTCAAAAATAATTCCATTTTTCTGGGTCCCCCGAATATATGAGGGGTGACCCAATAGATGCATATATATATTTTATGATAGTTTTCTAGTAAGTCATATAAATATGTATATGCAATGTCTTCCTCACCACATGAAAGATCTCAAAACTATTAATGCTTAGATGAATATAATTTGAGTAAATCATATCCTACACATACAGGCATTTCTCCTTATTCTGAGCCCCCATGGTGGCTCTTCCTGATCCCTAAGGTTGCCAGGAACTCACCGAGGACGGGGAGAGCTCAGCGTCAGGCTTCACAAGCAGCACGCTTTGGTCCACGGCCCGCAGGGCACAGAGGGACTGAGGGGAAGCTGTGACTCGCAGGTGGGCTTGTGAGGCTGGGAGACTTTGGGCTGGGCTGAAGCTCAGATCCACCTGTAACATTGGGGAAAAAAAGGTCAGAAAAACACATTTCCTGATTTCACCTTGCATTTCCTGAATGGGCCTCACATCCCCGACATGTAACTACTTTCACTGACTTTGTGGTGGCTGGTATTATGCCAATCCTGAGGCTTTTTGTCTCCTACGCTTCTCTTTCACTCTCAAGAATGAGTTGAGCCATGATAATAATTTCTAATTCCTTTACATTACTAATTATGAGATGCCATTTTTTAACCTTTTATACACAGTAATGTCTTCACTAACTGTGGCGGTTGTGCTTGGGTCTAGATATTCTTGTATTTTTTTTTTGTCTTTTTAATAGTCTTAAAAACTTGCTTATGCTTTCCTCCACATTTCTTCATAGAAGCAGGGAACAAGGTACCCAGAACTGTGAAATTTGGTAAGAGACAATGCGCTAGAAGAATTTTTGAGTTTTGCACTAGGAGCCAAGTGACATGGCTTCTTAGTGTGACTCTGCCTTATTGAATGTCTCTGGCGAATCTGTTTCCCTCCTGGGGCTCCAGTGCTTACATGTATACAATAAATGACAGCTATAATAACTTCTAGTTCGAGATGTTGAAAATTTTATGATATAAAGCACCTACCTTGTTGGTAAGACACTTTTCAACCTCGTATTTTGCAGAATCCCCAATCATGTCCCCATTTGGTAAAATGGCAAAGATAAGCAATCGAGCAATAGGAGCGATGTCTGACTCCACAGGGACTGACACGGAAAAGTGGTATTTTACTGGAATACGGAGAGAATGAGAGGAAGCAATCATGGGTCAGACATCTCCCCAGGGCTGACATAAAATCACTCTGTTGCACAAAACCATTTTAGAAGCCTGGTCTGGTTAATGACAATTTCCATTAGCAGATGTTATTGGTATAATCAACAGTAGATGTAATCCATGAAGGACCGCTCTAAACACTATAGCTTATTAAAAAAAAATCCTGACAAAGTCCTCTCTCCTCTCCTAAGTCATGTACTGTGTTGATTTCTCAGCAGTTTTAAGCTTTAGCTCACCTATGTAAGTTTCTGATGGTGTGTCAGGGTAGGGGAAATCCACTTCACCATCATTTGATCTAGACCTTACTCTTGAAGAGGGAGATAGAATCTGAAGTTATAGATGTAATAGTAAGAGCTTAACACATTATATTTGTGCTTATATCCTTTCCACCCTCCATGAAGCAAATATGCTAATCTTTTATCCTTAAGAGGATCACTATGCGCCTTCAAAAGTTGTTTTTTTGATGCCCATATAGATTCTTTAGATGTCGCATTAAGCTTCCTTAACTCTACTTAGACGTTGCTGTGAAAAGGCAACAAAAAAGAAACTTGCTGATAGTTTTCTAGTAAGTTATCTTTTAGATTCCTAAAGGAATCTAGGAGCAACCTTCAAAGATTTAGATTGTTGCATATTTGTTCATGGAAAGAGTCCAATTAAATGATGGAAGTACTGAATTTAACTCTTCATAAAGCACAGCTATCTTCAAAGAGAAAATGAAGTATTTATAAAGATATAAATGATAGAGCACAAGACCTAGCATATAGAAGGCATCTTATTATTATTATTATTTTTTGAGTTGGAGTCTCACTCTGTTGTCCAGGCTGGAGTGCAGTGGCACGCTCACGGCCACCACAGCCTTGATCTGCTGGGCTCCGGTAATCCTTCCGCCTCAGCCTTCCAAGTAGCTGGAACTACAGGCACGTGCCACCACGCCTGGTTAATTTTTTTTTTTTTTTGGTTTATTGTAGAGATGAGGTCTCACCAAGTTGCTTTCCCCAGGCTGGTCTTGAACCCATGGGCTCAGGCAGTCCTCTAACCTCGGCCTCCCAAAGTGCTGGGATTATAGGTGTGAGCCACCGTGCCTGGCCTAGAATGCATCTTAAAACATTACCCTTCATCCTCCCCATTTTCTAGAACAATTCTCAAATGTCTTTCATTCTGAGAAGAGGGTCAAGAATGTTTATGGTTTAAAAATTTGGAATATGCATAAATTATACACAAAAACATTTTAAATAATTCAAAGAGAACAGACTAAAGAAAAAGAAAACAAATATTTGACAAAGGGTGGAAAAAAAGAAACATTATTGCTTTCCCTCCCTCAACTTTCTCTTTATTATGATTGGATAGAAATTATTTGTCTTTCCTTGAAAGTGTTCCTGGTATTTCTGTAGTGTAAGACTAAATGTGTCAGAACGGGACAATATGGAGATTATGGAACTACTCACGGTCCCCCTGCTCCACAGACAGGACATGGGTCCCACTTCGGACAATGCCTCCCTTAGCCATTATCTGCAAAAAAAGGGAGGACATAAAAAATTTTTAATGTGCCTCAAAGGGATCATACTCGTCATCTCGCTTCAATATATTTGTTTTATTGAGCCCCTGCTGGCAATCATTAGCCCTCCGAGAAGTCAAACTTTCAAAAGGAACATGGATGAGACATTAAAGTGGTGATGTCTAAAGAACTTCATAATTACAGAGAGCTTTTGTCTACAGATAAGTCAACACTGTGACCTCCTTTCTCACCAGATAATAGAAGACCAGCTCCTTCAGCTCCTTCAGGATCCGTTCATTCAGAACATAATGTACCTGGACTGCCTGAGTTTGGCCACAGGGAAGCTCACGAAACTTGAGCTCCAGGCGCACAAAGCTCTTGCTTGGGGAGAACACAAGATAAGCCGTGTGATGTGCCTCTTCGTGTTCTTCGGACACCCACTGGTAGTCATAACAGGGACTGTAATTCTTGTGTTTGACCTAATGAAAAACGATATTATTTTACTGTTTATATGTCATAAAGAATCAATGTTCTTACAAAACTCTGTAAGTTTACTGTCCTATCTGGATAGCTAGAAATCTTTTGCTCCACAATAAAAAAGAGAGAGAAAGGTCTCTTGTTTTGTTTATCTGTATCAAATTCAAGCATGGTTTTTGCCTTCACACTGAATAGCCTCCTGGAATTGGGATTTATATTTCTGAAGAGCATAAAAAAAGGCATCTTTTGCTCTGTTCAGCTTGCTTGATATTTCTTTGGCTACTTTCACCAGAGCTAGGAAACCTCACTGAGAGTAAGTAATATCCAGAAAACTAAACATCTGTGCTTCTGAAAGTAACTGCCTTTTCTATGATGGTCCTCAAGGGGTTTAATGAATTAAAAAAAAAAATGCAACCTTAGGGGTCTGAGAAAACATTAGTAAAAAGTATGGCTTGAATGGAGATTATGAATTAGCTGAAATCTACCTCTCCTGGGCTATTTTAGGCTGTCTACTATTATTATTGTTATAATTTTGAGTCCGGGTCTCTCATTCTGTTGCCCAGGCTGGAGTGCTGTGGCAGGATCACAGCTTACCGCAGCCTTGACTCCTGGGCTCAGGTGATCCTTCTGTCTCAGCCTCCCAAGTAGCTGGGATTACAGGCGCGTGCCACTGTGCCCGGTTAATTTTTAACTTCTTTTGTAGAGATGGGGTCCCATTATGTTGCCCAGGTTGGTCTCAAACTTCTGGGTCCAAGTCATCCTCCAGTGTAGGCTGCCCAGTGTGCTGAGACTACAGGCGTGAGCCACCGTGCCCAGCCAAAACTGATGATTTTTAATGCTGCCTGTGGGTTGGGATCCTTATGTCTTACAACTGGGTTGTATTTCTGACTTTTCTCCATGTAGAAGTTGTTCTTTAGTTTATTCCAGGCTTACCCTATCTTCATCTCCAGTGCCCAAATAGCAAAAATAAATCCTTGTGCCAGTGAAACACTTAGTTCATATCTCAGTATGTGTTTTAGTGGTAACATACACATGATCACCAAGAAGAGGAAGTATGTAAAAATATTTTCATTGTCAGGACTAGCACAGGGCCTGGCACACAGAAAGCACTGAAGACAATTTTTGATGGAAAAATAAGTAAACATTCAAATTTGAGTTATTAGAGGTATGTTCTTTTATGACATCAACTTAAAGCTAAATAAAATATATTATTTTTTCCTTTTCAATAGCAACACAAAAACTCTTAAGTGGTAGGGTTTTCTCATTATCATGATTATGGAATATATATTGTGTATCCTTATATCTATAAACATATATCTACATCTCTATTGATGGATACAGAATAGAGAGCTGTATGCTATACAAAGCAAGTTGTATGAGTATGAATAAGTCATCTGGAGAAAATTAGAACAGTAAGGCAAAAATACAATAATTTATGGAGTAAATTTTTGAAAGTAAATTGTAATTATGTTAAAATTGGCTCATATAGTTAAAGTATTTAACAGTTAAAGAGGACTTACTAAGGCCTTTAACATGTATTCTATCATTTAACCTTCACAACCACCCCGAGTCAGGTATTAATATTGTAGCTATCTTACAGAGAAAGAAATAAAGCACAGAGATTTTATTTTCCCTTACTATAGGGTCGAGCCACTATTTTTAACCAGTTTATCTGGTTCTGATTCTGGAATCCACACTCTTCAGAATAAATTGTGATAGAAAACACGTAACATCAAATTAGTATCTTCATCGTTTTTCAGTATATTGTTTGGTAGTGTTAAGTATATCTGTTGTGCAGCAGATCTCCAGAGTTTTTCATCTTCCATCTTCCAAAACTAAATCTATATGCCCATTAAGCTATGGCTCTTCATTTTTCTCTCTTCCCAGTCCCCAGTGACCACTATTTTGTATGACTGACTACTTTAGAAGTCTTATATGAGTGAAATCACATACTGTTGTCTTTTTGTGGCTACTATATTTCACTTACCATAATGTCTTCGAGGTTCTTCTATATTGTAGCTTGTGATAGGATTTCCTTTCCTTTTAGGAATGCATAATATTCCATTGTACGTATATTCTACATTTTGTTTATCTAACGGACTGATGTTTGATAGTCTATACCTCTCAGCTGTTACAAATCGTGCTGCTATGGACATGGTGTGCAAATGTCTCTTTGAAAATCTTGCTTTGTTTATTTATTTTTGAGTCAGGATCTTACTCTGGTGCTCAGGCTGAAGTGTAGTGGCATGACCATGGCCACCGCAGCCTCGAACTCCTGGGCTGAGGTGATTCTTCTGCCTCAGCCTCTTGAGTAGCTGGGACTACAAGGCAAACGCCACCATGCCTGTCTAATTGTTTTATTTTTTGTTGAGGTGAGTTCTTGCTATGTTGCCCAGGCTGGTCTTGAACTCCTGGGTCAAACAAATCCTCTGCCTGGCCTCCCAAAGTGCTGGGATTACCGGTGTGAGCCACTGTGCCCAGCCCGAGACCCTGCTTTCAAGTTTCTTGAATATATCCCTAGAAGTAATATTACAGGATTATATGGTAATTCTATGTTGTAAAATTTTTGAGGAATTACCATACTGTTTCCATAGTGGCTACATCGTTATACATTCCCACCAGCATTGCTCATGTCTCCTTTTTAAAATAAACTTTTTGAATGTTGGCCTTCAATTAGTTTCTAATTGCTAGTTTTTCTAGGACAATTTGGAAATGTTATCATTTCTGGGTTGCAATCTTGTTTTCAAGGCTACTTCATTCATGTCATTGGTAACTTCTGTCCAAACTTACCCTAACATTAAGAGAGGTACCCATAACATTGGTGGTATTGATGGAGAAGTGCACAATGCCATGCTCATCTGTGGTAGCATCGTGGCGATAGTTAGCTTCATTTGCTCTGATGAAGACGGCTTTATTTGGCATTGGGACGCCTTTCCCATCTACTAGGCGCACCTGAAGATTAAAAACCATGGATCGGTTATGTGGCTAATAACTAAGAGGCACCAAACATATTCATTTTATCACAAGTTTTTTTGAGTGCCTCATATATGTTGAACATGGTTCCAGGCATTGAGAATATGGCAGTGAACAAAACAAAATTTCTTCCATCACAGAGCTTACAGTCTAGTAAAAGATAGATGCTAATAAATATACCAATAATAGCCACATATTTATTCCTAAAGAGAAAAATAAAGCAGTGTGAAGGGATAGTGAGTGATGGGGATAGTAATGGAAGAGACTAAAAAATGTATTTTGAATATTTTGGAAATGCTATGTATTAATATAACTCTTGGGGAGTCACAGAGCCCAAGCATAATATAGTAATGGAAATTTTAATTCATTAGTCAAATTTATTTGATCCCCAAATACTTGTTTTGTGGTAGAACCGTAACTTCCTATGGATTGATTTTCTGAAGCATCACATGTTCACAATTAAGCAACTGGTATATTGTCCTGTGTGCTTCTCTGGCTGTTTTATCTGCTTCTTAACCTAAATTTAAAACCCTTTGGAAGGTAGGCAATTTTATGACACCCTTTCAATGTGAAAAATGTAAAATTGAAAAGAGATATTAAATAAGGCTCTAAAGCCAAATTACAGCTGATATTAATGCAGCAGATGAGTAGTCTGGTTCAGACTGTAAAGACGATGATTCTTTTTCAGAATAAATTATTTTTGGTAGCAAGAAGCAGAATAGGCTGACTTGGATCAGTGTTCATAACTAAATAACAAAATCTAAGTTTGCCAATTAAATGTTGGCTGCACATACAAAGACAAGAATAGCCACAAAATTCAGATTCTCTTCTAGTGAGAGTCTTATGACAAATAGGATGGTTGTCTAATGGCAATAAAATATTTTAAAAATAGTATCTCTCCGTGATATTTAAAAATAGACTGCACCTTGATTTTAGGAAGTGGCTGGTTTCTGAATATATTTTGCTGTCATAACATAACCAAATGTTTTAGAATGTACTCCCTCTGTTGGGTCTATCTTGCTGTGTTTTATACCCTCTGTAGCTGAAATCCTGTAATGTTTCTATTAAGAATATGATGCACTGCAACTACACATTGAAATACATACAACTGTCACCTCAGGCTTCTGGAGTCTGAAAGATCCATATGCATATCTGCTTACAAAGAAAAATAAAATAGAAAGTCTTTTTGTACATCTGTATAAAAATTTATAATTTAAAAATCTGAGAAATTTAAATAGCAATATTTTACCCCATGTTTACTATTTTTAAAAAATAGCTGTTATTATATAAAATAATGTAAATATATTCACGAAAGAAACATTAGGAATAGTAGAATTTTTACTGTTTCAAAATGAAAATGAAAACCAACTACCCACTCATTTTCAAATACAGTTAGTGTCAGACGGATAATGTAACTGTCACCATGAATTTTGAGATTCTTGTGAGAAAATGTCATAAAAATCTGAAGCTGTCTAGTAAACCATAAGAAGGAGATTGAGGGACATTCTACAACGTTTCTCAAAAGATATTCCCAAGGTGGAAAAAACCTACTAATTTTGATGAGGCTTTTGAAGGATTTCATATACAGATATACAGAGAAACAAATCGATTTTTATGCAATTTTATACTTTTGGTTATGCTAATCAAACATTGGTCTATACCTTCGGTTATATTCATTGACAACATTAACCAGGTATGGCTTTAGCAGAAAATGTACGCATTGTGCTAATCAGGACTAATGAACTGTAAAATACTCTACCTGCCCATAGAAGGGGATTCCTTTTCTAAAGTATGAATCTACTTTCACAAATGAGAGTTTGGTTATGGTTCTTGTGATTTTACTGGACCCTATTCCAGTTAATTCCACTCCTGAAAGAGAAGAAAAAATAGATTCTTTTTGAGAAGGATGATATCTCTGAAGTTTTTATGCTCCCTTCTCCCTTACAGTTCATAATGTGGCTAAAAAATTAAGTCAATGGTCATTGCTGTTTTCTTCCATTCCCACATGGTACACAAACCTGTTCCTTCTTCTTGGATGTTGGCCTCCACGTGAAGTTTCATTTCATATGCTTGCATTTTCATCTGAAAGACTGTGGTTTTTACTTGCCGAGAGAAGCAGCCAAGGCTATTTAGCTAAGAGGAGGAATATAAAATGCAAGAACATGACGCAGACTATACTGGAAAAAAACAGTGGTCTACTGATCTGGTAATATTTTTCTGGGACAACATAATCTAGGAATTTTCTATGATGAGGACACAATAAATATTCTCTAGAGACTAATTATTATTACATTCCACAACAGTATCTCAAATATGATTGACAGACGTATTTCTTAGTATCTGAAATTCCCTGAAGACAGTGAGAGAGAAATGCCTTAAAAAATTTGAGGTAATCTTTTAAAATTTGATTTAAAATATTTGTACATATTTATGGGCTGCCTGTAGTATTTTACATGCATAGAACATGTAGTCATCAAGTCAGGGTATTTAGATACCCATCACTTCAAATATTTGTCATTTCTACATGCTGGGAACATTTAAAGACATATCTAGTAGCTATTTTGAAATCAATGTTTCCTTGTTATTAACTATAGTCACCCTATTCTGCTATAGAATATTAGAACTAATTCCTCGCCAATAATAATAATAATAATAATAAATGCTACCTTGTTATTAACTATAGTCACTCTACTCTGCAATAGAATATTAGAACTAACTCCTCACCAAAGTCTGGTTCCCCATCCTTTAGTATATAGCTGGAGCTAGAAATGGTCTCCCACCTGGGTACCTTCCAGGCATCTTGGTGGGGCCATGTGACAGGCTCTTGATTATAGAAAGCGAGCAGAACTGATACCCTTTCTAGCCAAGGAAGTTAAGAGGTGTATGTTTTTTCTCCTTCCTTTGTAGTAGTGATGCCCAAGGAGGCTTTGGATGCCCAAAGAGGCTTTGAATAGCTCAACTTCTATCACTCTGGAACATTCACAATTGACAATTACAAGGAAAAAATAATTCCTACTGTGCTAAGCTAATGATTAAAAAAATTACAATAGCAAGCTAGCATGAAATTCTCTTCCAAATTAGTCTTGAGTTAGCACCATGTGGCAACTCACTGATTGTCCATAATGCCTTTATTGTTATTCCTAGAAGAAACAGTTTTCAACTTACCTGTTCACTGAATTTCTCACAGAAAGCTTGTGACTCTTCACCAAAGCAGTTAGAAGGGTTACTATACTTTCTGCAAACGCTCACAGTCACATGTCCTGGGACAGGCTTCCCATATGTGTATCTGTCATGAGAACATTGCCATATGCATCAAAGAAGTAACTGAACATCTTCATTTTCTACTTATTTGTATTTTTAGAGAAAAAAACAATACTAGCAAAATAAAACAAACAAACAAACAAACAAACAAAAAAACATAAAGAAGAACCAAGCACCCTCAAGTCTACCTAGCAATGCAAACTATTAATACAATGGTGTCTCTCCTTCTACCATTCTCTCCCCATGTGCAGCCATCTCTATATTGAGTTTTACTTTTTTTTTTTTTGAGTTGGAGTCTCACTCTGTTGCCCAGACTGGAGTGCAGTGGCCGCTCCCGGCCACCGCAGCCTTGATCTGCGATCTGCGATCTGCGATCTCGATCTGAGGCGATCCTTCCGCCTCAGCCTTCCAAGTAGCCGGAATTACAGGCACTCGCTACCACACCTGGCTGATTTTTTGATTTATTGTAGAGATGAGGTCTCGCTGCCCAGGCGGGTCTCGAACCTGCGGGCTCAAGCAATCCACTCACCTCAGCCACCCAAAGGCGCGGGATGACAGGCTGAGCCACCGAGCCCGGCTAGTTTTACTTTTTATAAAAATGGGATTGTGTCATAAATATTTCATAGAAGACCGCAGTATTTTCAAGACAATTGCTTCCTTTCCTATGTGAAATGTCCTCTATGTCTCTATTTGCAAGATCACTGGCTCACCAGTTACGTGGGACCAGGAACTTGGCAAGTGCTCCGAGATAGCACCAGGGCAGCGCCCCAGCTGAACAGTAGGTGCACTATATATTATATATGATTTTTAGGCAAGAATGGTTTCTTCTCTCTACCTGTTCTTTCTGCTCATGCTACTCTGAGCTACCAGGGATGGGAGTATAAGATCCTGGAAACATGAATTTTCAAGGTTGGGAGACACCATACTGAGAGATCATATCAAATGGCAGTGCAGAGAGAGGTACGCAGGCCAGCCTTAGGTAAACCAAAGAGTTACGTGGGCTTTTGGCTATATTTCTATGTTTACAAATTATGAATCTAAACTATTTTTCCACTATGCATGCAAGGTATGACCTTTGTTATCTTTTGGAGGGTGGGCTCCTTGTAGCATACCTGGGAATTTGTTCCTCCAGATTAAATGGTCAACTAAAGTTTTTAGCTGGAAGTTTTGAGAAGGTTGTATCATGATTTGCAGAAGAAATGTCTTGAGTTGTGGCAAACAAGTAACTGGTTCTTCCATCATGACAACATACCTGCCCACATTGCTGAGGATTCAGCAGTTTTTGACCAAAAAATGGGGTGACTCTGTGTCCCACTCTCACTATTCACCCAAACTTGCCCTTAATAACTTTTTTGTTTGTTTGTTTCCCCAGATGAAAAAAGTCTTCAAAGGGAAAGGTGTTGCTTATATGGAAGAAGTGAAACAAACAAAAAACTGGCAGAAACATGACAATGCATCAAAATCGATGAGTTCAAAAAGTGTTTTGAGCAATGGGAAAAGCATCTCAGTAGATGTATTGCATCAAATGGAGAGTACTTTGCAGGTGACTGAAGTTTAAACATGTAAGGATAAATACACAATATTTTTATAAATAAATTCCGGGTTTTTTGGATCCCCCCCTCATATAACCATGTGCTAATTATCTCACTAATATATATTTGGTTACGTCTGGTTAAGCCATTACCCTTCAACTTCACCTCATTTTTAAAATGTACATGGGCAGTTTTGTCACTTTCAGAACCAACTCTAGTAGCACACCCTCTTTCGAAACCGTTCCCCACCCCCTGATAACTATAGTAATGCTAATAACATGAAAGAAAATAAGAAGGAAAAATAGAAAAGCAGGAACAGAACATTCTGGAGATGGAGATGCTTAAAGTTTTTGTGTTGCCACTGTTCCAAGAGAAAGTAGCCAAAATATCCTAAATAGTGATTGTTGTTTAAATAATCCCCCTTAAAAGATTTTTAAAAAATCAACTCACAGGCCGCACACTGATACATTCATTTCTTTATCCAAGATGGTGATTATCTTTGGCACTCTTACTTGTACTTCAAACTTGGGAAGAACTGTTGGTTGGCAATAAAGAAGGTTGGTGATTGGTTTTTTCACTTTTAGGGTATTATTATTTTTAGGTTCTCTGTAGCAATTTCCTAATGTTACTTAAGGCTGGAAAAGGTTGCTCTACTCTCCAATATATCCAAATCAACCTTCTTCTGAAATGGAGATTTTGGTTAAGGGACTATGACAGATCACTGTCTCCTTAATGAATTAAGGAAGATGCCACTACAACAAGGATGTTTTACATTTTGAGAATATTAAATATGACTACAAAAATAAGCGATCTAAAGCTCTATTCACAAATCATTGATGTCTTCATTGGACTTGGACATAATTAGTTGCACTCCAAGCCTAATTTTCACTCAGAGGCAATGGAAATGGAAGGGCGCCAAATGAACTCTAGTTCTAGGTCTGAGAAGCTTAAATATGAAGAAAAATGTTTTGGGACTTTTCACCATTCATACCAAATTCCTCCACGGTGAAGGGGTGCTCTGTCCTTCTACCCGATTCCTTCTGTACCACCACCTTGTAGGAGCCCTGAAAGGGCTCTGACGAGAGGGGAAAAGACAACTGCTTGAGGCCACTCTCTAACTTAAGACTCTGCCATTGTGTGATGCGATTTCCTTTGGGGTCCTATGGATAAATTAATTATGACTTACAAAGTGCCTGGAGCATGATGATAGTAAAAATAAGTCTATGGAAATTCCTGTTATCCACAAAGACCACAAATGGGATAGTGATAAGGGGTGAGAAGGGGAGATGAGCTATAACCATTCAGCCCTGTATGAGTTGGAAGGTTTCTTCCTTAATGACATGTTTCTGGGATGTTGCAAGAACCCCTCAAATAAGAATATTTTTCCTAAATTTATTGCTTTCCTTCTGATATGAAATGTTTCATGTTGCTTACCTGAATGTACACTAGTGGAATCTGAAAGACAAGAGAAGAAAAAGGAGTTTATAATGTTCTCAGATATTTCTAACTCTAATTTATAAGAAAAATAGCTTTATGTAGAATAGCTGTCTGTACGGTAAAACCAGAAAGATTTGATTAAATTTTGTACAACTTTTAATCAATACATTTTAAGCAACTAATAAATAATGTTAAGAACTTACTAGCCCATCAGCAACGAATATATATGTGCACTTTCATTCATTAGGAATGGAATTTATTAACATTACTTAAGGCTTTTAGAATCTCAGTGGAGAATACTCCTTTGATATGCAGATTGAGAATTTTGCAGATTAAGAAATAGACACTTATGGAACTATAAGTAAACATGTTTAATGTAATTATTAAGATGGGTCACAGAATTCTTAGGCAGTTTTAACAATGAAGAGTAATGGAAATAATTGTTTATTCATTTTTAAAAGCTAATATTTATTAAGTATCTATTCATGTGCTGTGTATTATTGTAGGTGCTGAGAATATAGTCATGTGCAAAGGAACAATAAGTGTATTTTAATGGAGCTTACATGATAATAGGTATGGGCAGATAAAAATAATCTATCTATTTCTATCTATCTATCTATCTATCTATCTATCTATCTATCTATGTATCATCTATCTGTCTCAGGTGGTGGTAAGTGTCAAGGTGATACAGTGATGGATGTAGTGCTTTATTTTAGATAGAGGAATAAAAGTAGAAGCTAGGAGACCAGTTTCAAGGTTATTGTGATGATTTTGTTTAGTTATGGTATTGACTAGGACTAGGTTGTAGCAGCAGTTCTGAATATATTTTAAGTCAACATGATTTTCTGGTGAAGTGGATGTGGGTATGAGAGAAAAAGAAGCAGGGATGATGACATAGTGTTTTACCTTAGGAGCTAGAAGAGAATAATTGTCTCCTTTGAGTTAAGAAAATGTGACAGAGGAGTAGATTTAAAAAGAAAAATGAAGACTTTGGTTTGATGTCTGCATTACAACAGAGAGTTGTTTTTTGAAGAGCAAATTGATTACCCTTAAATTTTTTTTTTTTTGAGTTGAAGTCTCCCTCTGTCACCCAGACTGGAGTGCAGTGGCCGCT